TTGGCCCAAAGAATTGGAGCCAATCGTAGTCCAAATAGTGGCCCAAAAGAGCCGCCCGGCCAAAAAGGCTGGCGCCCAGAGGCGCGCCCGGCCGGGTGGGGGAAGCAAAGGCTGACGCCCGAAGGCGCGCCCGATCGGGCGGTACCTCGCCCGATTGGGCGTGTGTTATTGTTAGGAGACGATTAGCGTCGTTTAAGTTTGTTTTAGTTTATGATTCTTACGGAGTATAAATACTTCTCCGTAAAACGAATTTAGTACTTTCTTTACCTTCTTTTTACTCTTTCTTAATTTTATGAGACTTTCTCTCTCTAACTCTTTTCTCTCTCCTCTTAAACTCTTAGTATTATTTTCTCTCTATATAACTCTTGGTTTAATTTCAGTAATTTATTCCCTTTCTTTGATCATGTCTCCTCTAATTGTCTTGATTAGTTTAGTTTTAATTATGTGTGAGTAGTTTTATTTCTAGGGTTTATGGGGATCCATAAATAATATGAAGGGGTAATTTATTATTGTTAATTGTCAATGTTAGATTGATTTCCTATTGATTGATTTAATGCTCTGTGACTAGATTTGCGCAGATCTTTTATGCATGAGTTTGGCAACATTGATTCGAGATTCGACAGATGAGAATTGATGTTTAGGTCTAGTTTCAATAGGCAGGTTAATTTATAAATGGTTAGGTCGAGATTCGAAAGATGAGATTTAATACCGGTAAATTAATTGTGTGATTATAATACGTAGCGAAAGCCCTTTATAATCTGAATAATATATGCATTGATGAATGATTATTATATTCTACCCTGGAATATTATTTATTGGTGAACATATGCCCTAAATCCTTTTTTATATTGTTTTCTCCCTATTCTCAATCTTCGTAGTTTAGTTTCATATTCAACTTATATATTGGTTACTTCATAATCTAGATTATATTAGTTAATTAGGAATAGAAAAACTTGTTTCCCTGTGGAGTTCGACCCTACTTCCCTATCTACTTTAGTTAGAGGACTTAGGTAATTACTTTTGATTAGGGGATACGACTTTACCCTGTCACTGTTGGGGTGGCCTGCTGAGAATGGGACGCGGCTGGTATGGGCCCGCTGTAGGGAAAGGAGCAGGAGGTGCGACCCAAGAATGTTGTTGTTGCCACGACTACTAAGGATCGGGCCACTGTTGTTGCTGGGCCCAAGGTTGCGTAATAGGATTGGACTATTGTTTCCAATGTTATTGTGTATTCTGTTGTTGCTGCTGCTGTTGGTTTGATGGTGCACCATGCCCTTGACCTCCCCGACCACGACCTTTCCCACCGCCGTCGCGGCTTTTCCCGGAGGGGTTGCCTCCCCTACTGGCGCCGATAAGTTGTTGCTGCTGTTGTGAGGAATCCGACTGTTGGGTCGGTTGTTGTTGGGCAACGACGTGGGGGTGGGAGAGTCTTTTGGCGAGTCTTTAGCGGTCGGGCGTGTGTTGATGGGCAACGAAACGATCGTGGAGACATCGGTTAGACGGGAACGAGTCGATAATTTTGCGGCTGTGACATTGGAAAAATTGTCAAGATGAAGATAGTTAATTTGATTTTCGAGGTACACTGCCCTAGTACTCTTGTTATCTTGAAAAATATCCTTAATTCAATCCTAAATTTGCTGAGTAGTAGATTTCCCAGCCAACACGACGTTATGAAGATCAAGTGAAATCGTTCTGTAAATCCATTGTTTCACTATTGCATCTAAGCGAGTCCACAGAGCATCGGAGATGTCAGAGGGTGCTTCGGAGTTTTGGGATTGATGTGGTCAAGAACGTTGTATGCGCAAGCATGGTTCTCAAACAATTCAACCCAATTGGAATACTGAACATTCGTGTAGTCTTGGGTAATCGGGATCGCATTCTTGATATGATTGACCGTAAGGGCCGGGTGAAATTCTTTCACCGGTGGTGATGGTGGCGGTGGAGGATGAGAGTCACCATCTTTAGTCATAGTTGAAGGCTAGAGAAAAGAATCGGTGAAGGAAAAGAACGAGGGGCAGAGGCATAGCAGAAGCAAGAAGAAAGAAAAAAAAAATCCTAGGATCGAAACCTAAAGTTGTAATACCATGTTGGATTTCGGGAAAACTCCTCAAATTGGAGTGTGTACCATTGATCAATGTATATAAAATTTACAATACTAATCCTAATCACGTTAGGAAACCTAGTACGATAAGGATACAAATATACATAAAATCTATCCTAATCTGCGACAAATATTATCATAAGTATAATATCTATCATATACAACTTCAACTATTCTCCCTATATACACTATTACATTACGGAGTATTTTTTATATATAATATTCCGTATATTTTGTATTTCAATTAAAGTATTCATTAAATATTTTATACTCTGTATTAAAAATTACTTCTAAAAAAACTACTAAGTACATAATTTTGTATTTCAGTTAAAGTATTCATTAAATACTTTGTATTTCGGTTAAAGTATTCATTACACTTGTCATTAAATATTTTATACTTGTATTAAAAATTACTTCTAAAAGTACATAATTTAATATGACATTTTTTTACGCAAATTAGAAATATTATATTAGAGCGATTTCAAACGCTCGAGCAAAAGCAAAGCATAATGGTGCATGTGTAGCAACCATTTCCTGCTTTGAGAGGTAGGAAACATAGAAACAAATATAAGAGCTAAAAGATAAGATAAGATAGTAATAGCTACATATATATACAAAATACATCTTGCGTGTATCATTGTGAGTATAGGGAGCAATAGGAAGCAGCTCATCAAAGGGGTTAAGCTGCAGTATGGTGCCTTGGGATCTCATTTCCATAAGCTTCAAAGACTTCAGCAGGGGGTAGAAATAAGTCTCCTTGTCTCCTTTCTTCACCACAGTTCTGCCACGCATTGCTAGTTTATCGGCAACATGGTTAACAGTTCGGGTAATATGGAGAATGTTGACAGTCCAGTCCCTTTCCAAAAGGGAGGCCACATCTTTGATAATATTTCCAAGGTCAGAATCCTTGAAGGAGTCAGGGCTTTTGAGCATTTTTTGTTAAAGCATCCGCATCAGTTTCCAGAATAAGGAGCTGCATTTTCCTCTTCCAGGCTGTAAGAAGCCCTTCCCTGATAGCAAGTAGCTCTGAAGAAGCAGTAGATAAAGCATTGAAAATTATGGCAAAACCCTCCTGTCACAGCCCCTTAGAACACCTGATTACCCCACCTACACCCGCATTATCAAAACTCATCCAGGATCCAACAGTATTAAGCTTGAAATAACAGGGGGAGCCCAAATTCTGCTAGGAGGAGCAGTAGAAGAAGATGGCAAATCCAAACGGCCCTGCTTTAATTTAAGACAGAAAAGATAGTCCACTAGGAATTTGTTAAAGTTGACTGGAAAAAAAAAAAGCATTTTCTGTTCAAAAATAGTCATGTTCCTAGTTTTCCAAAATGCCAAATAGCAACCAAAAAGGCTGTTTTCCACTCTGAAGTACCAGTAAGATTTAAAGTCAACCAATCTTGAAGATTAGAATTATAGAATTTATTTAAATCAACTGAAAAGCTAGAAAGTTTTTCAAAAACAAAGACCAGAATGCTGAAGAGTTAGGGCATTCACGAAAGATGTGGATGGAATCCTCAGTAGAGTATTCACATCAAATGCAAATAAGATCAAAGCTTTTGATTTTTTTTCTAAGGGTGCTACCTGTTGGTAAAATGTCCCTAACCAAGTTCCAAGCTAGCATTTTGTACTTATAGGGGGCATTTATTTTCCATAGGGTTTTCCAGGAAAATGAAGAAAGAAAAGTAGAGTTTAAATGGAAGGGGTGAGAGTAGAGTTATAGGCTGATTTTATAGTAAAATGACCATGTTTATCCAAGGACCACTGCAATCTATCTTTAACATGAGTAAGTTGAGGGAGAGGATGAGCCAAAATTAAGGTGCATATATGGTTAGGGATTATGTGTAAGACATCATTCAAAAACCAATTGTTGTTTATAATGATATTAGAAACACGCCAATGGCCTTTAGAGTCTGGAATATTGATATTTGGGAGAAGGTAAAGAAGGCAATCACCAATCCAGTGATGAAACCACAGGATGTATCCTCTCCATCCCCAATATTAATAACAATACCAGATTTGAGAATGTCCCTGCTAGCAAGAATGTCCTTCCAAATAATGGAGTCAGTATTCTTTTGATTATAATCAATTAAATTACTGTATTTAAGGTATTTAGCTGTTAAAATTTTAACCCACAATTTCGATGGTTGAGTTAAAATTTTCTAACCTAACTTAGCCATAAAAGAAAGGTTCCATCTTCTTAAATCCCTTATACCTAGACCACCTTTGGCCATAGGGTCACAAACCACATTCCAAGTTGTCCTAGGGATATATCTAGATCGATTAACGCAATTCCAAAGAAATTGTTTACAACTCCATTGAATATCATGAAGCACACTAATAGATAGAATATTAGATTGCATGGCATAAACGGGGTAGGAACTAAGGACAGATTTAATAAGAGTACACCGACCTGCCATATTTAGAAGTTTTGCTTGCCAAGCCCTAATTCTGGAACAAGTTTTAGACAAAAGAGGGAAAAATCTAGGTTAGACAAACTTTTATGGCTAATAATAATACCTAGATATTTTCCAAAGTTGGTAGTATTAGAAATTTGGCAAATATCACAAATTGATTTTCTTACATTGCAATTCATTTTCCTAGGGAAAATGGCTGAAGATTTCTGGATATCGATGGATAATCCTGAAATGCATTTAAAATGCTGTAAAACTTCCATAATTTAATATGACATACTACAATGATTCTGTTCTATTTTATAATCAGATACGACATACTATATGATAATTCAAAAGTTGACTATAAATCCTTCTTGAGAGTTGAGATATTAGAATGAATTGATAAAGCTAACCAAGTTGATCATTCTCTCGCTCTCAGTAATTGTGATTGTAAAAATAGAACAGCACTATTGAACGATAACAAGCAACTCAAATGGGCGTTCTCCTCAATAACTCCATTTACTTTGTAACTAGCTGCATCTGAAAACAAGTAAATCGAATAAAACCAGGAACTAAGTCCATATACACAGAAAAGAGTCGATCTCCTTGCAAATAATGTAATCATAAAAGTTCTAAGACTTCTCAGCCTTTCAAAAAAAAAAAAAAAAAAAAAAAAAAAAAACAGAAGGAACTAAGTGCATATACACAGAAACGAGTCGGTTTCTTTGCATATAACGTACACATCTTTACATAAGAGTTCTAAGACTTCTCAACCATGACCCTAAGTCAAGGAAGTATAATGTTCAATTTAGGGCAGCAGCTCAGTCTCTACAGAACATCAGTTGTGAGCCCCTCTTCCTCAAAGGCCTAATTTATTTATAAGGCGGTTCAAAAGAACAGGAAATTCGGGCTGTATGGGATGATCAACCTTTGAAATCTGAAGGAATTTGTTCTTTCATGGGTGATACTGTAGTAATCCTTGATTAAGATTTTCCAAAACCAACACCAGTTTTCCTTCTTTTTCGAGTTTCAATGCTCTCAGGTCTTGACAATCTGGTGCTTTTCTCATACTTTAACTCCAATGCCTGTTTTGAGTTGCACACGGAGAAAATTAAAAGTCATTCTGTGAAACATTTGAAGTCTCAAGAGCTTTAAACTAAACGAGATAAGTCTTGAGATACTTTGTGAAAACTTGTAGAGTTGTGCAAAGGGATAGTGATGTTCTCTTTAATACAAGTACTTTTTTAAAAAACAAATATTGGACCTTAAGCGAATTTGCATAAAATAGAGGTTACTCCGTATTATTTATATATGTGATACATCTTCTCTTGTAAGTTCCTTTATCTCCTAAAGCTAAACTCATAATTTAAATTCACAAGGTTCTCGCTTACCTTATTATTTCAGAATATTACAACAGAAGTGCATCAACATATAATTTACAAGCAATGAAAAAAGTTTGAAGTTAAAAGCTAAGCAAACAAAATCCCACAAAAATCCACTCTACTTCACAGTATAACACTTTAAATACAAGCCTTTTATCATTATACGAGCTGCACAACATCAGGAGAATAAACCTGAAAACCAGTGTCACTTCTAGTAGTCCCAAAGTCTGTTTAGTCCATAATCCTTTAATTATATCATACTTGAAATGGATTTTATTACCCGCTACAATTCATCATTCATGATACTGGCAAGAGTCAATTATCAACTCTCAAATTTATACAGTAACTCCTGAATGTTAAAGTTAAATAATGATGAACAAGCAAAACATGTAAATCCCTTCTTTCAGCAATCCAATGCTAAGGCTAAACTGTAATGAGATGAAATATCTACATAATATTCCTAGACAACTTATTGGATTCATTTCACTACTACACTCATCTATGCGCTAAGGCTTATTTTCTGCCATCAAAAAAAGAAGAAAATCAAAGTAAAAAAGAAGTTTTTTTATTTTAATTTTATTATTAGAACTCTACAAGTCCACCAAAATGAAGGAAAATTAAATGACTTCAAATTCAATCATTTGAAAAGCCTTTGATAACCATATTACCTGTAAGCCATCACGTATGGTGTCAAGTTCTTCATCTGTCATTCTCTCAAAGAAGAGGATGCCCTGAAAATTTGTGAGAAAGAATGTAAGATGTAAGCTATAGAGGAGACACTAGCATTTCAAAACAAAATGAAAACTCATACATCCTCTTATTCTAGAATAATTGCAAAAGTAAAGACATCTTCAATAGTCATATACCAACTTTAAGGTATACAGCCAAACAAATTTTTGATTAAAAAATGTGATAAAAGAAGTAGTAGGGATAATCTTGAGAGTTTTGTCTATATTCAATGACAAAATTAAAAAGTTAGTAGAGATAAATAGAAGATAGTGGATCATATCAACCAAGACAAACAAAATACTCAAAAGGCATTAGTGTGAAAGCATGATGTTGATGTTGAAAATATATATCAGAGGAAAAAAAAAGGGTTATCAAGCTGCTCACAAGGTTAGCAGCACAAACAGAGAAGCCAGTGGTGGTGAGTGCTCAAGGTATGAAGTGAATGGAATGGGGTGAGATTAAGATCAGGGAATGAATTTCCAGAAAATAACATTATGGTCCATAGCTTTTATATGCTTGTCAGGATTTGCATGGTAAAAAGCATATAAGTATATAACAGAGGATAATATGAAAAGTGAACATTAATAGAAGTATTAAAAAGAACAGGATTCAATTATGTGATGTTGTTCGAAGTATGATGAATTTAGAAACTTGGACGTCAATACAACAACAACAAAGCCGTAGTCCCAAAATTTTTTGGGGCCGGCTAACATGAATCGTCATAAGGAATCGTACGATATAGAGAGACTTGAACGTCAATATTGACAAAAAATAAATTACTATCAAAGAACAAACAATTTAAAGATTAAACATTAGGTTATCAGAATAGTAAATTTCAGATGCTTATTGCTTCAGATGAGTGACACAACTTTGAGACTCTGTGACAAGTGTTACATCAAAAATAAAAAGTAAGCTACAAATTGGAAAATTACAAGATTTCCATCATGATAAACAATACTCCCTCTGTCCTTTTATTAGAGACCCATTTCTCTTTATTATGTGAGTAATAAATGTTAAAATAGGCCACTAATTTAGGGACGGAGGGAGTACATGACAAATTAACAACAGGGCATGGGAGTATGGGACTCTTGTTCTACAAAATCATACTTGACATAATATGCTCATTCACTTTAATTGACACCATGATAATTAATCCAAATTCCTAAAGGAGTTTTATTTTGATTTTTAATAACATTACATAGCTTCATAAGTTAGAATATTTACATTGGTCAATCCAGCAGTAACACCCACCCACCCCCCACCCCTCAAAAAAGAAAATAGTTATTAAAAAAAAAAAAAAAAAAAAAAAAAAGAGCAGTAATATATATTGTGGCCTACCTGCAAATGGTCAAACTCATGTTGGAATACACGAGCAGGAAGGCTGGATAAAGTAACTGTGAATTTTGAACCACTAATATCCTGGGCATTAATCTTGACAGATTCTGGTCTCTGCAACAAAGATCATAGACATAGACCGTTGATAACAGAAAAAACAACCAAAATACTACAGCTGAAAACATGTAAAGACAGATGTATTTCATTCAGTGGTCAATCTGGTTGCTTCACCAAGGAGTCTAGCATTGATGACTTTGCAGTTTGCTCAACCCAACCAGAAAATAAAGAAGAATCAGGATAATGTCATTACTGGATAGGCTAAATAAATATGTGGTACATTACACTTACACTATTACTATAAGAACATACGTTAGTGTAAAAAGAACAAGTAATCGTGCTAGTTTAAGCTCAGGTTAATGGTTATCCTATATTCCTATGGAGATACAAATAGTGCATCAGTAATGTTATATCATTGTTGTGTTCAATGACAGTCAAAAGAACCTCAGTAATAGGGAATTAATCTTAGTTTACAAAATTTCTCTCTTGGTTGAATTGAATTTAATTTCTACTGATCTGCTAAATATATATATATACTCCAGAAGGACAAGGGACAAAAACTGTGAACCATGTCTTAAGTGTCTCCCTCATGCAACTTGATCAATAAATAAGAAGAGGAAACAGAATGCATATTGGAGACAAACGAAAATATTCATTGATGGTGAAAACTAAGAAAAAACATGTTTGGCATCAGTTTTAAATTTTATCAAAAGAGCAGATGGCTGAAGAGTGAGAACTAGAAGATTCAAGCTAGATGTTCGACAGCCCATCCCTTCCATTTACAATGCCCAACCACCACAATCTTAACCCAGCATAGAAAATGTGTTTTTGAGCAATGGATATGTAATTCCAAGACAATTTATAATGTTAATTCTACAGAACTTGTAGATAACAGCTATCCAGAACTTGTTCAATTTATAATGTTAATTCTACAGAACTAGAGTAGTATGTGGTATGCCAAAGAAGAAACAATATTTACTATCGTAAAACTTTTCACACCACAATAGTTCAAGCCAGCCTAGCATTCCAGCCACAAATAATTAAACTCCATAATACTTCCTTTAATTATTCAACATATATTAAAGGAGCTTGAAAGCGATTAACAACTCTCGACATGACCTCACAGGCAAGTGTAATCAGTTAATTGAACAACATTTGCTACATCTTTCACTGAAAATAATGTAAGTCCCAAATGCATCAACTATCATGTTGCACGAGAGCTTTCATCATCTGGGTAGAAAAAAAGTACCTGTACATCAGCATATAATCCAGGAAAAGATAGACAGCCTTCATTAAAAAGCGTTTTCTTTAGCGAGTACTGGCTCACACTTGGATTTACAAGAACAATTTCTTCTCCCTCACCACGCTCACCAACAGGGTTGAACACCATAAGCTGGACGTTAATGCCTACTTGAGGAGCCGAGAGTCCAATCCCATCAGTTCTGCAGAAAAGGAAGCCAACAAGTATTGTTCACAACCCTGTAAATAAAAGTCATAATCTAGAAAAATCAAACCTAACAGAAATATTTTGTAAGTAATATCACAAGTAAAAATACAGCAAATAGCATTTCTCTATTAGCCATAAAACTATAATTCCAATATTCCATCTATAAAAATATAAATAAAAAAATTTCACCACTTCCCACCCCCACCCCTCAAATGATCCTCCCTTTGATTTAGTATTTTAGTTTAAGATAAGACGTTACAAGGTAAAAAGCCTGTAACAGCTTATACCATCACAAAACAAATCCCCATCTTTCATGTTTTGAGCTTGCAAAAACCTACAGAGGGATATGTGCCCCTAGTCATTGTGAGGCTCCCTTATTGAGATTCTACACATTTTTTATTGAGTATATTTGCACAAGTCTAACTCTGTAATTATAGATTATAACCCATTATCCTTGAGGTCATCATCCCACCCAACATAACCTTGTGGACTTGTGGTATAGTGGTCTATGGTCATAAGACATAAGACATAAGTTCGTCATGTCATTTGTTAAGTCGCTCAAAAGAGCAACAGACAACCCAAATATAAGCCATCTCTTCTTGAAATGCACCGATATCCAAAATATAATCCCTAAATCCAAGCAGCAAAAAAAATTAAATTCTTTCCTCCTCACCAAGGTAGCACCAAACCCCAATGCATGAGTTTTGTTTTTCTAAAACAATTCCAAATGAAGCTCCGAGACAAAAGGTATAACCTGCAAATCCTCCAATACTAGGAATACTAATCCTTTATTGCACCAAAAATTCATGAAGACGAAGCAATTATCCATATTGAACACATTTCATATTTGAAAACTCATTCGAAAACTTAGAGGATACCCTTCTTAAGATTGTAGAAAGACCTTTACCTCTACATTATAGATACACATTTCACCTTTGATTTTCACCATCTTAATTCTAAACTTCTAAATTATACCATCTAAATAGAAATTTACTATAGACTACTTAATATTCATCAAGAGAGTAATTGATATCAAAATTAAACAGGAAGAACAATTCATTCAAACAATTAAGCAAAATAATCAAATTAATATGCCAATTCATCCTGCAATCATATAGACAATATCATAATTTGAGTATTTAACTACCATATAAATACATAACAATTTGTCCCCAAAAAAAAAAAAAAAAAACCTTACTTGTACATAACATCAAACATTTCATCAACCAATTTCTTCAAATTATCATCAAACTTATCAATTGGCTTGTTCTTGGCTCTAAGCTTTGGGTCTGGATATTCAACAATTTTCAGTGGTGACTCAAACTGCAAATCAACACCTATATTCAAAACCCACAAAAATTTACAAATAAATAAATTACCCAAAGAAAACCCACAAAAATTTACAAATAAATAAATTACCCAAAGAAAACCCACAAAAATTAACAAATAAATCACCCAAAAAAAGGAAGAAACCCCACAAAAATTAAGAAATAGAAGAATGAATTAAAGTGGGAAAATGAGGCATACTTGAAGCGAAGTCGTTTTGTTTGGTGGGGAAGCTTCTTTTTGCCATGGCAAGAACTTTGGTAGTGTTAGTGCAGTGAAGTGTAAGAGGTGAGTTAGAAGGAAGAAGAAGAGTGAAGGAGGAAGTGGGGAAAGAGAGAAGAGATGAACGAGAGGAGAGATGATGTTGTGTCCATGGAAGTGGATGATGCTGTGGGAGTTTGCTTGAGCAATGCATTTTTTTTATTTTTTTTTCTGTGCTTACTTTTAAATTTTTAAGTTCACTAGGATGATTTGGCATGGTATTTAAATGTGTGATTAGTAAACCACCTATAGAAGGTGGTAGACTGGTAGCAAATCTGGCAATTTCAAAAGTTGAAAGATGTCTCTATCATGTTAAAATGTTACTCCGTACATTGGTAAATGTGAATAATAAAATACTGCCAACTTAGGGTGTGTTTGGTTCAAATAATGATATGGGTTTGGAATGAAGAATAAAATCAGGATGGTATGGATTTGGAACTTGATACTTGATTCCATTTGTTTGGTTTTGAGTTGGGAATAATATGTTTTTCTTCTAATTTGAAGCAGAAGGTATGGGTATGGCTCATACCCACCTCCGCCCTTGGGTTTCAAAACCCCATACCTCGGTGATTTGAGGTACGGGTTTCAAAATTGAAATTTATAAAAACAAACCATAGGTATGAGTTTCATTCATTTTAAACTCATACCTCATACTTTAGATACTTGAATCAAACACCTAAATTTATTGAACTAGAGCACTATCACCAAAGAAAAAATGAATTCCCTCCTCACACTCTCTTTACCCTTTCCCTCTTCTCCACGCCAGATTTTTTAAGAAAGAATTTTTTTCGTCCCACAAAAAATAAACCCAAAATTTCCAACACCAGTCTCTTGTTTACTTTTTACCATACAAAATACGGAGTAATAAAAAACACAAAAACAATAAGAAACCATCAACTTAAGCCCACATGTGTAAGGAAATTGGAGAAAAAATTCTCCAAAGAGATTTTTTCACAATCTCTAAAAAAAATTTGGGGAATTTCGTTGGCGAGGTATTATTTCACCACAAAAAAAAAAAAAAAAAAAAAAAAAAAAAAAAAAAAAAAGCATCTTGAAGAGATTTTTTTTTTCTTTGTTGTAAGTGCTCTAACAAAATCAGTAAGGGATAGCAATACCTTACTTATCCCACTTCATCCCAATTTAGCCCTTCCTAAGTCATGTAAGTGATGTAACCATCAGTCCACTACCTTAGCAACCTAGAAGGTCGTCGGTGACCACCATCACCATAATAGCAAGTTAGCAACCAAGAACTACCTCGACAACCATTGTACCGTCTGGCGTGGGAGTTGAAAAATGGATTGGTAATGCAACTAGCACGTTGGGGACCCAACTGTAAACTTTAACATTGGCATTCCAAGAGCTACAAGCTAAGAATGTTTTTTCTCGTTCAACTTAACCACCACTAATACAACCCATGCTATGAAACCCACCGATGACCACAAATGAACACAGGCCCAAAATGGTAGGCTTTTGCATGCCCTCCTCTATGGATTTCCTCGACCTCCATTGTTCGTTGAAGAATTCAAGCTCCATTTGGCGATCCACTAATGAGAGAGGTAACGTCCAGTTAACGCCTTCCAAGCAAAAAAATATGTAAATGACGCTTATCACAAGTAAAGTTTGCAAAAAGACTTGAATATCCCCTAAAAAAACAAAATTTGTTTCTCAAGTTGAGAAATTTGTATTATCTTGAAACTTGGCTGTTTGGTTCCCCGTGTTGAGAAATACTTTGTTTCTCTAGTGGCAATAATTAACTTCAAATGGTAAGTGTTTGTCATTTGCTTGTGCGTTTTCTTTCTCCATTGATTTTCTTGACTCCCATTATTGCAAAATTGAGAACTTCATCAATTTCCTAATATTTTGTGAATTTAGTATAGCTGACAAAGTCAATTTGCCATCACAAACTGAATTGATGAAATTAGATGACATAAATAGCTCATCTTGTGTAGGTGAAAAGACCAGCTTGCTCCTTTGAGATGCTTCCAATGTTGCTCAAAGTTAAGAAACAATATAAGAAAAAAAAGTGTAAAGACCAAAAACCTAGTAATTATCTACGTTTGATGTAATCTTGTAATTTTTTTTACGGTATCTCCAACATAACCAACTCATGTTGCTTCCTTGCCACCAATCTCTTCTTGGGTCTAATAGTATATCATGAACACATGAAGTGGGGTGAATAAGATAAGTGTCTCTAGATGTGTCAAAAATCTAGCTACTCAGCTAACCCAACTTGGAAAAAAAAAAATTAAATTCAGTTATAAACTTGTTTGGACACAATAATTTAGTATGACTCAAATTTAAAAATTGATTGACTTAAATCAACCTTACCAAGCTTGTCCCGAACACTCGAATTGACACATCTGTGTGTCTATACCATTATCCCGATTCGATTACCAATAAGAGTTGGTTAAAGTAGTAAGCAACTTGATGTCACTTAAGGGAGGTTTCGAGTTCAAGCTTCACCAAAATGTAGAAACTCTTGTTAGAAGACTCATGGTAGGCAGGTTTGCGACTCGGGTCAAATCCGAATAACGTTAGAGCTAAACTTCAGTGTGGGCATACTTAAAAAAAAAAATCCTTGTCGGATCATAAGACATAAGTCACATAACTATGACATCAACATTGCCTCTCTCCTCAACTCAATCAATCAAAACCTTAATTCCAAAAATAGAGTCGGCTACATGAACCAAATTTGATTATTCCGTGTAATCATTGACGGAATAGGTATCACCTAATAAAATTACCTAAATGCCCCTGAAATGTGGAGTAATGGGTTTACCATTATCAGCTTACAAAGAAAAAAAACCGGATGAATGTAGTCCCCACCTTCTCCTCCTGCTACTCTCTCTCAGTTCTCCATTGAAGTGCACTCAACGTTCTCCATTGAAGCGCCTTCTGATACTTTTAACTCCCATTGAAGCAGCTTCTGAGGTAATTTCTTGTTTCTTTCCTCCCTTAAATTATTTATGAACCGTATTTGATTATTGAATCAAATTTAGTTGCTACTGTATTGCAGAACCCATTAATGGTAGAATTTAGCTATGAAATTAGACCCCTTCTCCCTGGAATCAGGGACGGGACTGATTATTAGTGAATTTGTAATGCTTTACTGATTTTTCATGGTATATATACTAATTTCATTATATACTGATTTTTCTGGGTAATTATATGCTGAATGTTGATTGATTGTTGCTGCGAATTGGTAATTTTTGTGTATAAATTATGCCCTAACATAAATTGGTAATTATATGCAAATTGATTGTTGTTGCAAAGTGTTGTTGCAAAGTGTGTAACATAACTTGATACTTGTTAATTTAGTGTTTAAATTATTCAATTGTTGCTTGATTTTTATTGTTTGGGTTCTTGATATGTAAAACTAAGTCCTTTTATTTGTGTGTGCGACAATGCTCATAACACTTTGTTAGTTTGTTTAGATGTTTTACACAAAATGGTTCTTTTTGATGTCAATTATGTAGTGGTACATTGAATGAGTTGTCGAATTCTCTTTCTTATTGATACATTATATGCTTTGTAATTTGTTGTACCCATGTCCCCTATTTTAGGATTGCCATTTTGTCGTGTCCGTTTTGTACCCGTGTCTGTGCCTGTATCCGAACTGGTGCATCCTATCATAACACCCATTCTACACCACCCCCGTGCAAAAATGCTAACCACCGTGCACCACCACCAACGAGTCCTCCTCCTTCACCACTCTCCTCACTTCATTCTCTCTCCTAAACCTCTCCACTCCTTCACTCTCAAATGCCTCTCTTCTTCCTCAACCGCCTCTCAACCCGTCACTCAACCACCCACTACAAACTTACCCACTTCCCAAATCCTCTCAATCCGCCATTCTCTCCTTACCCGCCAACTTACCGCTGTCGAAATCGCTGAGTCTTACTTGACTCGCCTCCGAATCACTGAACCCAAACTCAGGAGCTTCTTGCATATTGCTGATGAAGAGAGTATTTTGAGGCAGGCTGAAGAGGTTGACAGGAAGATTGAGAGGAATGAAGAAGTGGGGTTGTTGGGTGGTGTTTTGGTGGGTGTTAAGGATAATATTTGTACTTCTGATATGCCTTCTACTGCCGGTTCGAAGATTCTAGATGGGTATCGGCCACCTTATGATGCAACGGCCGTGAAGAAGGTAAAAGAGTTGGGTGGAATTGTTGTCGGGAAGACTAATTTGGATGAGTTTGGGATGGGTAGTACCACTGAAGGTTCTGCTTTTCAGGTTTGCATCATATTAATTTTTTATACTTTGTCAAATTTGCATATAAAATTTTACTTTCATCTATATGTTTATTGTATGTTGTATGTAATAAGTTTGACAATGTGCCAACTAGCTCAATTGATTGAAGTCTTGGGGTGGTACATAATACCTGGATTGGGATTAAATCTCGTGTACATCATTGGAGAATAGTGATATGGATTTTAATCCGCATTAGCAAGGGTTTAAGCTCAAACCTCTATGAGTAGTTTTGGGGATCTAAAGTGATGAATTTAATGGAAATTGTGACTAATTGTTAATGATGTGTGCCATTGGTTGATGAAATAATTAAGGAACTTAGGCCATGAATTACGAGGCTGTTTTTATGGTGTGTTTTTTGACATTATCTTTAGCTTTTTGTGAAGTATTTGATTGGCGAAAAAGCCATAGTTAGGTTTTAGTAAAGGTAAATTATTCAGTTGTTTATAATATAATGTCAGGCCCTTGAGGGTGTGAGCTTGAGGAATTTGGGTAAAATTTATGACCTTGAACTTTAGAACTGAGTGAATTGCAAAATTTGTGGAAAATACCACATTTTACAAAAAAGTCAAAACAGGAAAATTTTCAGAGGGAGTATAATTCAATAATGTTTTCTAAAGTGCTTCTAATACTTTTTGGTGGAAATGCTTAGTCCTAGTGGACCACATTATGAAGTGATACATTAGTAATTAAGTATGCCGTTTATGATCTAAGGACTTTAGAAATTTTGATTAAATAGATGTTGCATCTAAAATGAATGTTTTGAGCACTAAATATTGTGAAAAAAAAAAAACTTTTCAGTCTTAAAATTTCTCTATGATAATCGGTTGGTTTACTCGGGTCATGCATCTGTTTAGGTGACCACAAATCCTTGGGATGAGTCATGTGTACCAGGTGGATCATCTGGTGGCTCAGCTGCAGCCGTTTCTGCAAGGCAATGTGTGGTGTCTCTGGGAAGTGACACAGGTGGTAGTGTGAGACAGCCCGCATCTTTTTGTGGGGTTGTTGGATTGAAGCCAACATATGGGCGTGTCTCAAGATATGGACTTGTGGCTTATGCATCATCATTGGATGCTATAGGCTGCTTTGGTACATCGGTTGCTGATGCAGGGATTCTTCTTCAAGCAATTTCTGGGCATGATAGATTTGATTCTACAAGTAGCATGCAAGTAAGCATTCATAAATCATTTTTTACTTCGTAAGCAAAGGATCACAGTTCCTCCTACATATTGCTATACAGAAAGTGTGTAGCAAATATGTGGGTTGGATACTCAAATTTGTCTTTTCATGCTCATTAGTTATTGAGATGTAATAATTAAATTCATGTACTTGTGTAAAATGACTGATTGTAGTTTTTACTTGTGCACCGATCTTGCCTGTTCCAATAATATTGTCAATTTGAAACATATTCTAAACAGATCAAATGCCCTGTTTGGTGAACTTTTCAATCTCTCTGTTTTCTGCAGTTGGAATCCAAAAACAGGCTACACTTGTTGCTGTGATTGAGCATAATTTTTAGAAACATGTGTGCTCGATTCATGCTGTAGATTTGTTGCATTCTCAGCTTTGGCATATTGTACTTTCCAGGAAGTTCCAGAATTCATATCCAAATTCACTTCTTCAAATATCCTGGAGTCCAGGCCACTCCAAGGACTCAGAGTTGGTATTATTCGTGAGACTCTTGAAGACGGTGTTGATGCAAATGTGGTGTCTTCAATTCGTGAAGCTGCTTCACATCTGGAAGACCTTGGCTGTTCTGTGACAGAAGTAATTTCAATTCTTTGATACGCCTACTGATTTGTTGATTTGGGCTAACTGGCTAAATTGACATAACCTTGTGTTTGTTCTTTTTTGCAGGTGTCACTGCCTTCTTTTTCACTTGGGCTTCCAGCTTACTATGTACTTGCCTCCTCCGAGTCTTCATCCAACTTATCACGTTATGATGGTGTTAGGTGAGCTTGCTATGCGTAATAATATTCACTGTAGGGTGAGGAAAGGGGTTTCTTGATAAAGCTGGTTTGTGATTATCAGATTATTTTAACCAAAGCCATGTGGGTATTTGATGCTTTTACTGCTTTGTTGTGAATGAGTGGCACTGTGCTAATGGATTATACCCTTGTAGTGTTTGGAAATTATTCATCCAGAAAAGGTAGTGATACCATTGAATTGCTTGTAAATGGATTTTATCCTCATCTGTAGGTATGGGAATCAGGTAACTGCTGATGAGCTAACAAATTTATATGGAGAATCCCGAGCTAGAGGGTTCGGTCCTGAGGTGTGTTTATTTAGTGATGTTTTAGGTTTTAACTGTTTAGGCTAATGCTCATCTGCTTGTCAAACTGTTTTTGTACAATGTCGGTTACATTTTACGATAACCCCCACATCTTTGTAGGTAAAAAGGAGAATATTAATGGGAACATATGCCCTTTCGGCGGGTTACTATGATGCATATTATAAGCGTGCACAACAGGTATCATTTTTTCTTTTTCTTTCTTTTTTTTATTTATTTATTTTTTATTATGTAACTGTGTTGCCTGTGACATTATTATGTAATGTAAAAACTGTAAATGTGTTTTTATGTTTGTTTTGTATGTTCTTTTTCCTTTATTTACTTCTGTTAATTTCTTCAATTTTTTTTTTCTATCCTTTGCCATGTGTAGGCTTTATGTTGGGCCAAATTTCATGATATCTCTTATTTATGGATTGGGATTTTGTGAACTTAGGCTGGAAGTTGCCTACTTAAGAGCCCACATTTTAAACAAACCCACATTGAAAATTAGAAGCATTTTTTTTTTTCTTATAAATAAATAAATAATTTCTTTGTTTCATATTGATCAACATATTCTGACATTGGGCATTATTCACATAACTTACTTTGAATTCCTTTGTTATTCATACTCCAGCAAAAAAAAAAAGTTGCCATGCGTTATGTTGATAGATTTGCTCCAATGTATGTATTCCAAATATAAGCGTTATAAGTTTCTTGTTTGAATTTAAAGACATTAATGTTTGAAATTATGCATTTGCGAGTGTGCCTAAAGGAGATGTATGATGAAGTATATAATAAATTTTTATAAATGTCGTATCCCCATACCTATGTCCAAAATCAGGACACAGGTATTTAATGCCGTGTTCATAATTTCAAAATTATCCATATATTTTAAATTTCGTGTTGAACACTCGGATTTGGACCTGGATCCAATATTCATACCCCTCTTCAGGTAACATAGCCTATATGTATTGATCTTTACCTCTTTATAATCTTATTGGGAAAGGTAAGTATATGATTCCAAAAGGTCTGCTAGCTAAATTGAGCTTTAGCTAGAATTTTCTCAAAAAGAAGCTTGCTTTAGGAATAGTTGTATTTTCTTGGCAGAAGAGGGTTGCCAAGATATCTGATGGGATATCGCCTTGTAGAATATGAAGATAACATTCTTCTCTTTCATTTCTTGTATTTCCTTCATATTACATATTAATTTATGTAGAATTGCCTCCAAATTTGAGGCTTTACAGAAATTAAGAAAAAAAATGAAAAGTCTCGTCAACCCTTGAGACTGGCAAAAGATCATCAAAAAACACAAATGTGTAATGCTGATCCTTTCAGTTCAGATGATTTTAAATAATTATAAGTTTAGATAAGGTGAGACAAAATCAATTGAACAAAACAAAGCCTCAGCTCTTTGTTATGGTAAACAAGGAAGAACATTAGTCAGCTCCAAATAAGGTGAAGATATGTCATTTGGCCCATGACCCATCATCAAAAGACTTTGAAGTTTGGACTCCCACTATGTTACACATATATGGTAGGGCGGGAGAAGGTCATAAGACTCTAATCATCTCTACTACTCTTGCTGTTTCTCTTGAGGGTAGTTCATATTAAGTGCGTAAGCTATGTCTTTGGGGATATTAGAAATCCATGTATAGGCGAGTGAGTGACGATTCCCATTTGAAATTGTTGCCATAATATCTAAGGGAAGAAGGATTGGGGGAAAAAAAAAAAAAAAACAGAAAGAACCTGAGTTTAGCACGTTTCAAGATCAAGGCTGAAACTATACCAGGATACTAGATAAATGGGTGTGGGATGTTTGAAGTGATCATATACAAAATGCAATTTTTGGATTTAAATATCAAGTTCTTTACCACTGCAAGTCTATCATCTGATGTCACACGCTGTGGATGATCTAGTCCCATGAAAATCACTTCTGCCTCTCTTTCAGCTGGACGTTCCTTCTTCCTTTTTTAAAGAAGTCAACTGTGGAAACCTTATTAACAACTTGCCTCATCTGTGTTCTTGCACGCTTTGCAAACTACTATGCACTAAACAAAATTATCTTGGGACCCACCTGTCGTCCCACAATTAAATAACAAATATGTGTGTCTTGGGTGTGCTATACCTGTTGGCATCTTACAGTTTTACCACAACAGAGTAATAAGAACTTGTTATCTGTAAGCACTTGCAGCTTTAGCAGTGGAAGCATTTGTGTTTTGTAAGATCAAGTTCTTTATAGAGTCAAGAAGAAATTATTGATTCTGGTAACCTTTCAGGTGAGAACTGTGGTTCGAAAAAGCTTCAAAGCTGCACTGGATGAAAATGACATTCTTATTTCACCTGCTGCACCCTCTGCTGCATATAAAATTGGTATGTCTGACGTTATTCTAAATAGACTTTTGTTTGGTTGGCCTTCCTTTTGATCAAAGTGTTGCTTGTTTCTTTGCCAACATCCATAGGTGAAAAGAAGAATGATCCATTGGCAATGTATGTTGGTGACATAATGACGGTAAGGCTTCTGGCTTAGTCATTTTTCTAACACTGATACTATCGTTTTCTGTTCTTGTCTTCTCTGTATTATGTGGGTATTGGGAATCAGTTGCAAGGGTTCAACAATTGCTAATCTGAGTAGGAACAAACTTTTAAGATTTTTTACCAGTATTGTATCATACATGATTACCTCATTGTTATTATAAAAATTATGCTCCACATTACAGAGCTTCTGAACTTGTAAAATATTTACTAGTAATTTCAAGTCCAATTTTGATAATTCATTTACTTGTATCACCAAGCGTGCATTGTCAAGTTTTAATGAAATGCAATGTGTTTATTTATTTTACTTGTCATTTGTCTCAGGTCAATGTGAACTTGGCTGGTTTGCCAGCATTAGTTTTGCCTTGTGGTTTTTCTGAAGGTGGGCCTGCCAGTCTTCCTGTTGGACTACAGATGATAGGTGCTGCATTTGATGAGGTAATGACCTAAATTTTTTTAGCTGAAATATGTGATGAGTTAGCCTCGGTCTGGTGAATTTGGTCCAGCCCAATTACCTTTTCCCCTCTTATGAAATTTAAATGGAAGACATTTTGTGGAAAGCTTTCTCTCTCTCTCTCCAAGTTATAAAGGATCAATAATTATTATTTCAGTGAAAGTAAAACTTTATTATTAAGTCAATCTTGTTGATAGAATATACCTGATCCAAGGAATTGCTGTTTCAGCTGTAAATTCTCATTTGTTTGAAAATGTTTGCTACAGGAGAAACTTCTCAGGATTGGACATGTCTTTGAGCAAACACTCAAAGGTCACAGCTTTGTCCCTCCAATTGTATCAGCCGGTTTTGCTTCATAGCTTGTAAACTAGCATCTCAACTTCTCAAGAGAGGCGTGATCATTCATGACAGTTTGTCTGCATTTCAAGAAGGTTTTGCAGACAATTCGACTTTTGGAACTCTCAAGACCAAGAGCCTAATTTTTAATAGGATAGAATATAGTAGAAGTGATGAGGAGTTTTGATGCCTTGACGGAGCATTTACATGCAAGCCTTGATTTGCTTGTCCCTGGTGCATATGTTGCTTCTCGTATTGTTGGTGCCTACATAACCCATGTAATTCTTGATCAAATATGAGCCATTGTTAGATGATCTTCATTTTATGCCTGCCTATTATTTGTAATTTGATAATAATGTTGATTGCTCAATAAAATTCTTATTTCTAGTGATTCACTGATTAGTGCCTAATGTATAACTGAGATATAAGTAATGTCACTATTATGGTAAATTGTAAAAAATGAGATGAGTTTGGGCTTTTAGATATGCCATAGCTGATATCTTTATCTTCCCCAAATCATTTTCCCTAAATTCACGAAGGGAAGAGGAGCTTGGATACGTTTTCAATTTCGCAGTTATATTCATACTCCGAATCTCATAACTTTTCTCTGTCACTGTTTTCATCACATATTACTCAGGTAACAGTTTATACCCTTTTTATTTATTTGATTTTAGTTGTTATTTTTCATTGTTTTGATTAAAGATTTTTGATGATCGTTTTCAATTAAAATTGTTACTCGTTTGTAATTTTGATGTGGTGCTTGTGGAATTTTTGGGTTGTAGTTAATTTGTATTCCCTCAATGTTAAAAAAAAAAAAATGATAGCCCTAATTCGAGCAAAAGCAAAAAGTACCAGCCAAAAGTTCGAGCCAACATAAGGGGTTTTTGTGCTATGATTCAAGAATCTGATAGGCGTCTCCTACTGCAACAAATTCGAGTCAATTTCAAACCAAAAATCAGAATTCGAGGTTAGTTTTTAGCCTTTTAGGGGTATTTGGATTTGCTTATTTTTTGTCCTTTTTAATTGTTTAATTTGTTTACGTTTTAGGGTCTTAATTTTTAAGATTTTAAAATGCAATTTTATTCTAATTGTTTTGTGGAAATGCAATTTTTTTTATACAAATGCTTAAAGTGACTTTTTTTTTTTTTTTTTTTTTATTTTTTTTTTTCTGGTGTTAAATTAATTACTGAGGCTGTGTCAATTGTCATGAAAGGCTAGTGCCAAGTAGCTGTGGTACCTGTTTGTTTAAAGCTTTGCTCCTTTTTTTTCATTTTGTTTGTTAGACTCTGATTTTTCTTCTTTTAAGCCATATTCATTAAAAGAGTTGGTGAGGAGTGCTGATATAGCTTTATTGGGGACTAATATGTTGAATTCACTTGGACTAGTATAGACCTGGTTCAATATCTGCCAATATATGTTATCTGATATAGAATTTTTATACTGACCTTCAAACTCCAAGAGTTAAACGATCATGTATTCGTATAAGTAAGAGACCTATGACACAAGATATGTCAGTGGAATAATAATAAGAAGAAAGTTTAGGGACTAAAATGAAAGAAAGAGAAGATAAAGAAATCAGAAGATACACATTAATGGACTGTCACTGTATGCTCTGCATTCTGTAAGACATCACAAGTTTCGTTAGGTTCCAGAATTTTGATTGAACAGAAGCAAATGAAAATTGTCATAAAAATGCCTAAGAATAGTTATAAATTTTATCTTCTATTTAGTTGTCTTTGTTCTGTTTCTTGTCATTCTAGTAAACACAGTTTTTATGTTATGTGAATAAGTCTCCATCTTCACCTTTTTATCCCCCTCTAGCGTCTTGGACTCTTGGTTGTTTTCTTGTTAGTAGACTCTGCTCCATGTTCCTGTCGACATCAAAATCTAAAATTTTCCATTATAACAAGCTGACATTTGTACACGAACCATGCATATTAGGTGATACAAGAACTACTAGTAATTAGAGTGTGCATGAACTGTATGCTAAGATAACTCAACAATGATCAATAGCATTTGTTACTTGTGTTTGGTGACTGGTTGACAGAATGAAGCACGTTGTTATAACCTTATTAAAACAAATATCATCGTCATGGCACATGCCAATAAAATGTTAAGCAGAAGGGGTTAAATGCACAACAGAAGCCATCCAAATCTTGACAAAATACACGTCAAATTGCATACTAGTATTATAAGTTGTACATATAATAGCTGTTCATAAAATAGATTCTTTGTATTTGATAAGAATAAGATGAGACATAATGCTCCATCAAGAAAATATTTTCGTTTTTGATGCCTGAAACCCAATCATGCAGATTGGAATCCATAAGAATACACCTGTGCTGAGGATTGAGAATTTAAGCACATTATCTATCATGGAGGAAGAATGACATCTGCTTTCCTTGTCAAATCTTGTAAATTCAATCTGTTCAATTTATACAAGTTAACTCAAAAATTATTGTAGAAAAGCAATTTATAACCTTAGTACTATGTATTTCAGACACCACTACATATCTAGCAATATATAAAAGGTCCACTCTTCATGTTTAGGTTTGTGTTTGATTTTCAGATTTTGGTTTTTGTAAGTTCTTGGTAAAGCTTTGAATTTAGGGAATTTTCTTGATAAATATATATATATATATATATACGCATTATGAAAAAAAAAATATTAGCCCAATTTAGATTAGTTGATTCATGGAGGAGTGAGGGGATGGAGGGATGGTTGGTCCCTCCATCTCCTCCCCATGTGATGGGGGTTCGACTCCTCACAGCCCCATTCCTGTGATAGGATGGGGCCCCTCCTCGTAGTTTATCGGTCAAAAAGATTAGTTGATTCATGAATCATGATTGTGTTTCTGTATCCATATGTTTATACAAAGTATTAATAATGAATGTGATATTTATCTAATTAAAAACCTGAAACGAGTTGGGTTTTCCATTGTTATGCATCAATTTTTTGTTTTTATTAGTTTTGTTTGGTATTATATATTGAGCTATATAATCTCATCACTGTTGCCTACTCCTGTTATTTAATTGGGTTATAAAGCTAAGACTTTTTTGCTGGCTTTTTTTGAGCTCGACAAATGAGCTTGATCCCTCTAGGGCTCTAGGCACCTTCACCTTCCTATTCTCAGAATTCCTTATCTTCTTAGCTTATGTTTATTTCTCTAAATTTTGCTGATTTAATAATTACTTTTTGTTTGTTGCTGTTATTTTGGTACTTGGTAGGAAAAACTATGGATGATACAAGTGCTTGGGAGGAAAATCATCTACAAAGAAACAATTGATATTGAGGAGAAAAAGATTAAGAAAAAAGGGTGCTTTGAATGAAGGTACTACTACTGAAACTACAACCACTATTAGTGACAAACTGACAATGTTTCAGAATTTAAAGTCTGTTATTTTTCTGAATTTAAAACCATCCACAAGTGGGTTTTTTTTTTGTATGTATTACTCATGTCTTCTATAATGAACACTAGATGTCTGTTATTCTATGTTTTGTCCTTGAGATGAATATTGCTTCCAAAAACCAAATTTGAAGGTGTCCAAAGGAAGCGGGGGCCCAACCCTACTGCCTCACCATTTCCAATGATTTAGAAACCACTACGTCGCCTCCCATTCTCTTAGGCACACAAACAAACAGCTAAGCTCCCTTTTTTCAATAGAATCATGTGTCTTGGCTTTTGGTCTGACGCACCCTTAATTAAGGTCTTCCCAATCTTAATTAAAGCAGACCGTTTGGATAGTTGTGCTTACTTAGTTTAAATTTACCCATAATGCGTTGACAACTCTCAAAAAAGGGACTTCTTTTCTTAGTGTGTCTATGTGTGTGCATGTGTATATGTCTGTGAATGAGAAGGGGTTATAATTTTAAAGTTTGCCTGTAGCCCTAGTATTGCCAGGGTTTCAAAAGGATGATCGTTTTCTGTAAGATTGCATATTAGTGTGATTTCATTGGTATAAGATCATTGTAGGTAGGCTGCTCAGGAAATTTCAGGCTGTAAGAAAACTTTAAAAAGGGTGTTTTCCGGCAATTGCTTTGGTGCTTGCTCTCCCTAGGGTAGAATAGATCAATTACTCATCAACTAGAGTGTTCAATTTCACTTAAAATCTGTTTTATTTATTTATTTATTTATTTTACAGTTTTACAACAAGTGTAAGAGGAAACAATCAAACAAATCAACCCTAAATATTATTATCGAAATAAATCTTGGGCTGCCATTTGTTTATCATGGATACTATTATGAGTATTATCTGATTGAAATGGTATGCGTGTATAATATTTTCTTATGAAACATACACTAAAATGTTTCCCAAGGGTTAAACATCACTATTTTACGCAATATGTAACTGCTAATAAAGCCGCTGCTGCAGGCTGTTACAGAGAGTGACATGAGCAGGGATGACAATATGATTTTTCAAAATTCTATCTTTAAAGAAGCTAAATTCTTTACTTGGGTGGTTTGCAAGTCCACTGTTCTTAGGCTTCAAGGTTTGGAATCTAAGAAAATAGGATTGATCAGACTTGTTTATTACTTGTAGTTTATTACCCTCTTCTCCTAGCATACTGTGCTCTTGCATGGGTGAAGCTCTTTCCTCTGCTGCTAAGACTGCTGAAGCTCATAATATTGCTGAAGTCTGCTGTTGTGTTGTCAATTGTAAATTTTTTGGATGAAATTGTATTACAAGAATTATGGCTTCTATTTATTTTTGTGTTGAATAGTGCTTGTATCGATAAAAGTAAAAACAATTACGTAGTATTTAAAGTTGTCATTTTGGAAAAAAATCGTTTTTTATTATATATTACAAAATTATGGTTAAAAACATACTACATACTAAAAAATAGTGTATGTTATTGTTATTAAGAAAAAAAGTTCTAAATTACATCCCCTTTTAACTCTAGAAATTATGGCTGCATTATATGTCTTACATGTGAAATGAAAAGGATCAAGTTTGGTAACATGCATCCAATATCCAATATGTTCATACAATCGATTGTATGTACCGTGGCAGGTTGGGCAAGGGTGAGAAAAACCAGATTTATGACATTATCACCTTAACATTGGCTAACAGTAAATCGGTCATTTTTTATAAAAGGTGAAGGTTAATTTTGTCATTCTCCCTTCTTCCTCCTCCTCCAATCTCTACATCACCATTCATCTTCTTTATCTCCTTCACTTTCATCTTCTTTCACCCCCTCCGACCTTCAACTTCTTCTAACGTCACCATTTCCAACATCGATGTCGACACCTTCATTTTATTCATTTCCATCGACACTGATCTCAATTTCTAACAGCTTCGCCGAGCTGCAGAATTAAATGAACTATAAGAAAAAACGGAGAAATAAAGGGCGTGATAATTTACCTAAAAGGATAAGCGAGTTTTTTTTTTTTTTTTTTTTTTTTTTTTTTTTTTTTTTTTATGTTTAGAGAGCCACAAGGGCGGGTGATGAGAATCGATCCTAGGATCACCTGGGACCGGGAGGGGAGCTCTAACCACTTGAGCTATCCCTCGCTCTCAAAGGATAAGCGAGTTTGATAGCAAGCTAAAATGTTACGACTAACGAGTATGAAGCAACTTTAATTGTAAGGTACACCTGTACGATTGTACCCAAAAATAAAAATGTAAGAGTACGAAGCATCGTTAATTGTAACTCATACACTCGTACTTAAAAGTTGTACAAATTCATGTGATTATTGGATTAGGGTAATTCAATTTAACAAAACTTATGCCTTAATTTTGATTTTTGATATTCAATTTAAAGTAAGTGATAGGAACAATCAACATCCACTACCAAGTGTCCAAGTACCCCACAAACTTACCCTACCACCGCCCACAACATATGAACACTGCTTACTCTTATAAACTCCGGATATTGCGATCAGGTCTTTCTGGCTCTTTCCTTTCTTCTTTCCCGCCATTGTTGCTGCTTCTCTTTTCAATCAAAAACTCTCATTTTTCATGGATTCTGAGACTAATCCTCCTAAATCTGTCAAAACCAGGTTCCTCCTTTCTTTTTCTCTCTTTCTTCCCCCACTTTTTTGTATTTACTCAGATTTTTGTAAGAATTATCAATGTTGCCCTTGTAAACTTTTGAGAAATTTATTTAGTTTTTGACATTATTGTGGTGATTTGTGGAATGGGTTTTTTGTTTCAGTTATAAAGATTCCATCTTTAGGAGAATTAGGACTGTAATAATTTGCAAAGACTTATTGAAATGAGTGTACTTTTCTGGGTGTGTTGAAAAAGTGAAAATGTTTTGTGGTAAATATTAATGAGGAATTTATACATGCTAAATTTTTGCTTGGTTGAAAATTTGTCTCTCATTGTGAAATTGCATGTGTTTTTTATCATCAAATTTGCGAATTTTTGGTACTTATATTTAGTGTACAGTAATACATTAAAAATCCCTGAAAAAAAGGGTGGATGTTATTTTCATTTAAATGCTGTACTTTGTACGTGCATTTTATGTAACATAATTGGTATGCCATATATCTTTCAAAGGGTCTTTATGTGTTTGATTTTTCCTAATTTTGGTTGTGTTTAATGAGTTGTTTTAGCCCATTAGGAACATTGGTAATAGGGATTGCTGTAATATCCTTATACTTCGTATGTAATTGGTAATAGGCTTCTAAGTTTTAAGCTTCAAGATTTTGTGATAAATGTTTATTAAGGAATTTTAGATTATGAGTTTAGATTAATCTCAGTTGATGAAGCTAGATGTATTTATGTTAGTTCAAGGGAAGGCCGGCGCAATAGGATGAAATGAGGTTTTTTGGGTGAGGTGATAGAGTTACTTAGGTCTATTGTTGAGGTGGAAGAAGCAGATTAAGGGTTGTATTCTACTTGTTTGTTAATCTTAGTGGAAGACGATTCCATGTGATGGTTTGGGGCTAGGAAGGGCTTGATTGAAGGTGACCTCTTTGGATCTCATTTTCTTTTCACTATGTTTATTGGTTCTTGAGTAGTTCTTCTGGTAGGCGTGGTGTGGTGCGGAGTTGCAATGATCTGAAATGCCTCTTTAGTATCTTAATATTCCATTTTCACGCAACTTAACCAACTCCAAGTTAGGACATTCTAAACATGGCAAAATTCCATTAAAGGTCATCATTATCCAACACGTTCAGTTGGAACTTGAATTTCATCACATAAGTTGTAGGAGCCTGGGAGGAGAATTCCTTATACAGTTTACTCAAATGTGGGATGCATAGTATCATTATTAGCTTGGCATGTTTCAATTTACAGAGTCATATCGGCAGGTGGCTATGTGCATTGTGAAGAGTGAAAAATGCTAGTATCTTAAGGGAGGAAAAGGGGGATGATCAATGATGATTTGTTAAAATACAGTTTTGCTCAGTTGTGGTCACCCCGTAGATTATATTTTACAGGTCAGGCCTTGGTCAACTTGTCTATCTGGAATTCAGGTGCTTAGTTTGGCTTGCTAAAAGTTGGGGAAGATTGAGGGTGGTTGATTTAGTGCTGAATTAAAACTTTTATTTTTCCAAAAGAAAATTCTCGTCCTTCCTCCAAAATTTTCTTTGCTGATCTGCTAAATCTCCTGACATTGCTTTGGCTAATATGTGTGATCTGTTGCTCTTCTCTCTAAATACAGGCATAAATGCTCAGCTTGCTATAAGCAATATAATAAAAAAGAGCATCTTGTGGAGCACATGAAGGTCTCTTACCACTCGGTGCACCAACCTAAATGTGGAGTATGTAAGAAACACTGCAGATCATTTGAATCTCTCAGGGAGCATTCAAAAGGTGAGTGACTGACAGGGAATTTTTAAATTAGTTCCCTTGAATTCTGTTAAGTTGGTTTTTTAGCATTTTCTTTGACCAACCCTTCAGGTTTGTTGGCAAAAGACAACTGCAGTAGAATCTTTCATGAACTGGGATGTGGTCTTTGCATGAAAATATTTGACAGCTGCATTTTGTTAAGTGAGCATAAATGGACTTGTCAGCTACCTCCACCTACTCGCCTTGTAAGTTAATCTTTGATTACAAGTTCTTTTTAATAATTTCCATAGTATGAGTTTTGTGTAATCCATTTCTGTAATATACTAGTTTGTTCAATGACTTCAGGGTACCATATCATTGCCTTCTATGGAACTGAAGAACTCGATTTCTGACAGAAGCAATGGTCTCCCAAAGATTCATGAAGCAGTTGCGATGGACTGTGAAATGGTTGGAGGTGGTAGTGATGGAACTCTTAATTTATGTGGTAGGGTTTGCCTTATTGATGAGAACGAGGATATAATATTTCATGCTTATGTAAAACCTCAAATGCCTGTTACTGATTACAGGTAGACTCTTACCTTAGGTTTGATCATGTTTGTACATATTTATTTTGACCGGACTATTCCTTGCACAATGCTGCAGATCTGATTTGACAGGCTTAAGTGAAGAACATCTAAGAGATGCAATGCCTTTGAAAGAAGTGCAGGAAAAGATTCTGGAAATCCTATATAATGGCGAGTCCATAGGAATAGTGAGAGTTGATGGTGGAAAGGCCAAGCTTCTTGTGGGTCACTCTCTGGAGCATGATTTGGATTGTTTGAATATGACTTATCCAGACCACCTGATCAGGTAGCTCTGTTTTCTCTGAAATGTCAACTTTTGTGCTGGTGATCACTTCATAGAACATTGTACTTGCTTAATGATGCTGTCACTTCTGGAGTTCTTTAATAATTATTGACTAATACCTGCGATGGTGGCCTTAGCCTCTTAGGAATTATGTTTTTTTTTTTTTTTTTTTTTTTTATGTCTACAATAACATGGAAACGTACGTTTTCTTGTCAGTCTCAAATTATATTTGCATCCTATATGACAACTCACGAGGTACCTTCGCATTATAAAAATTGCCCCATGTGCACCTTACAAGGCTCTGATTATTATGAGTGAAGTTCTGTTGGGATTGGATACTCGGATGTATGAATTAATGCCCCCTCAATTTTAATGAGAGTGGATTCATGTATATTCAGGACGTTGTGCAAAAAATTGCATGCTACAATGCTATGAAGCCCATGATTGCTCTCTACCAAATAGGGGAAGTATAATTATTATGTTTGGCCATTGTCTTGCTGCTTTTCACCTTAAGTGGTTCATTTACCTGTGTAATTGTGTAAATGAAAGAACCCTAGAAAACTCAATTGCTAGCTTTTTCTCCAACTTGGAAAGTTGAAAGTTAGACTCTGACTGTTATATGCCATAATCAGCTGTGAAGTATTGCTGTTTTGGCCTTTAGCCTTTCCATACCTCTGTCCTTAATGCATGCAATTACGGGTTGATAAATATAGGGATATTAAGACTTAAATATTGTGAGAACATACAATATATTTGATATGGGGAGTTGGACCACCTTTTAAGGCCCTACAGTTTGTCAAGTAGCACCTTAATTCTATACTTTTCGGCATAATAGTCAAATTTCCGGCAAGTTGACCTTTCCCCTCTTTTTTTTTATTTTTATTTTTTTTATTATGTGTGGCTAATTTCCTTCCCTTACCTTAGTTCTTCATAAACATATCATATTGTTAATGTCCCCTCTGCCCAATGGCTGGAGAAAATAGTGCAACCTTTCCAATTTCCATGGTTTCAATCTCAAATCATCCTGTAGTCACCAATAATCTTCATAAAAGTTTATTTTTATATATTGATGGAAGATTGACTGAAAATGTGCACATCTGATATGGAGTTCGGTGATTTTAGCATTATTTTTCCTTTTGGTAGTTTAGATGTGATCTGACTTTGTATGTGGGTGCTTGCTGAATTCTCTTTGAAAGGTCTTATTTGTTCCATCTACCTTAAAACCTAGGTCTTCATCTGGGCTTAAGTCTATTTGAGGTCCTATTCTGAAAATTTCCGCAATGATCCATAGTTCGCATACTTCATAACAAATTTTATGTCCTAGATTTTCTCTATAGCTTCCTTCATTTCCTTGTAGTTAATGACAGCTACAGAATGAGAGGAATTTCGCTGTTCCAGGTCTTTTGTCATCAGAAAAACATGTCCTCAATCTCTGGTATCATCTCATGCTTCAAGGCCCAAGATGAGGCTGATATGTATACAATTCCATGTGTCATGTCTGTTATAAATAAATTTGTAGATTGATGGTTTGGTGAAATGTGATACGTCTGAGATCAAGTAAACTAATAGAGCAATGAAAACGTAATATTTCATGAGTGTGGTCATTGCTTTTTCTATATCTAGCATTTAATTCTTATTGCGGTGTACTGCTATGGTGTGAGGCTCTGTTGTAAAGATCCCATCTTTTTTCTTCCTGGTTTATTATTGAATAGGCAGCCCACAGAACAATGTGCTTCAATAGATAGGCTCTGAATTTCGGTTTATGATCTTATTTTATCTGGTTCTTATCTTAAATTCCTTCTGCCTAGTTTTGAAAGGCTTTCTGATTTCATAATATTGCAGGGATACGGCCAAATATCAGCCGCTGATGAAAACAAATTTGGTCAGCCACTCACTCAAATATCTGACAAAAATGTACCTTGGGTATGTTCACCTCTTTACAGTTTACACTTGCGTGCGCCTTGTAACTATCGCTGCCCATATATGTAATGTTGAATCTGCTAAAACCTTTCAATTCTGCTGTCAAATTTCCAGTTCATTACAACTCAATGGTTTCTCAGATGTGTTACTGTCAAGTGTAGGGCATGTGTGTGTGTCAGAGAGAGAGGGTCGAGTAAACCTTCAAAAAGAATTGGCAGACATTAACCATTTACCATTCTTTGTTCTAAATTTGATTCTTCACTGTGTAAATGCAGTTATGATATTCAGATGGGAATACACGATCCTTACGAAGACTGTGTCTCTGTAATGAGGCTGTACAAGAGAATGCGTGACCAAGATCATCTCAAAGATTTCGTGGGATCATGCTTACCCAGTCAGGTTACTGAATTTATTACCAATGAGTTTGATTGTTGCAAAATGAAAGATCTTGAGAAGCTGACACCTGATGAACTTCTCGAGATGTCAAGGTCAAAGTATCGTTGTTGGTGTTTGGACACAGTCCCGAAGGTACGGCTATAAATAAGTCCCTAGTTGATGCCACTCAACTTGAGAGCACAGCAAAGAGTCTGAAGAGTTGAAAAGTTGTGAATAGTGAATACTAGTGAAAGGTTTTGTTACCGTGGTCTGTTCATAGTATCGGTTGAAACTTGAAACCATAGGGTTCGGCTTCCATTATCAAATTAGAGGAATTCACCCCCTTTTGGAATTAAGTCTTTGGTACAGTTAGAAATAGAATCATCTGAATTCTAGGGTATGTAATTTTGGGAGCACAAACTCTGTATTTTCGCTCCTAAAATCCGAGCAATGTGGATCAGTGGATGTAGTTAAACTCCAGGGAAGTTATTTTGACTTGGGTTTTCTGGCCATCCGGTCACCATACCTCTAGTACCCTATATGAGAGACTGGCCTTTAAACAGAATCATCTATGTTTTTTTTTATGTTCCAGAGTTTTGTAGATGACCATAACCATGTTAAAATTTCACTCACAAATGTTGCTTAAACTAAAGTCTAATTCAAGTTTTTTGTGCTTTGTTGCTTAAACTAAAGTCTCAGGAGTTTAATGCCAAAAAAACACCTACAGGATACACATACCGTCACTCACAGACCAGATTAAGCTCTTAGAGCTTATTGAAACTTAATTAAACTTATCTAAACTTATTAAACCTAAAACTTATAATATTTATTGTAAGGTGAAGATAACACACCCTTATATTTGTTTTCATATACTAGTTGGGTCGCTGCGTGCTACGCACACATCAACCAATTGTAATAATTTATATAAAATTTTCAACAAGTTAAATATTTAAATTGTATAAATTAAAAAATGTAATGTAAAAATCTAATATGCATTAAAAATTAATTATTAATAATTTTTTTTCCTGCGTGCATGTACAATTAAAAAAAAAGTATTAAAAGGGAATGCATAGTAAGTGTTATTATGGAGCATTTTTACCAAAACTAATACTCCATAGAAATATAATCATATTATTCAACAACCAAGCTGTAAAAAAATTACCATTTGACATAAACCCTACAAATAAATAATTAAGTTAGATTGCATTAAAAAAACATTTCAAATTGAAAGTGTATGTGATGTATTGTGAATAATAACGTTAATAATTAATTAGTAAAAATCATTGCTTGGATGCAAAGGCTTACAATAATATTTGGTACAAAGAATGAGCCTACATATGATATGTATATCATATTTATTTCTCATAATCATCTTCAAAAAATAATAAATCTACTTTAATTATATTTTGGGTCACCTATTGTCATTCAAATACTAAAGCTGACTGCACTCTATATCCCTGCATTTTAAGAAGTTTAATTAAGAAAATTTAGATTATACTCTCTAAAATATTTATTTAATTTTCTATCCACGTTAATGATAAATGTCTTTATTTTTTAACTCTTTATAATAGTGTGCGGATATTGATACCTCTATAAATATATGTTTATATATTGTCCCTCGTTATTAATGATGCAACAACTTAAGTTTAGGCAAAAGCCAAACCAAAAGTGCTTTTCGAATATGGCTAATTGTATATGGCACGTGTTAGCTGCCCTAACTTAGTATAATATAAAATTATTTTAAAAGTTACGACGACTTATATCCTCTTTTATTCTTTATCATACACATTCATTTGACCTTTTTGTGATAAATGCATTTGAATATTGGAAAAATAGTCATGAGTAATCTTATTTGATTCACCCCTAAATTCACTTTTTTTTTGTTAATTATTTTTACTAATATGTAATTAAATTAAAGGTATTAATGATATATAAAAATGCATTTATAACAACCTTGCAATAGGTTTTATATGGGGTAAAATATATTTTAAAATAAAAAGTTCCACAAATTCTTGAATGCTTCTGACTTTCTTTAGCTTATTGAAAGACAGGTTAGAGCTAGCCTAAAAAATTTTAAGTTACGCTTTTTATATAACATTAAAATTACTACTTGAATACATTTGACTTTCATTAGCTTATTGAAAGACATGTTAGAGTTATCCTAAAAGTTTTTAAAGTTGCGTATTTTATATAATATAAAAATTACTACTTGTATATTTAACATAAATTTTACCCTTTAAAACACTAAATAAATAATGTATTAGTTTGATCTAGAGCCGTCAATTCGGGTAAACGGGTCGGGTTTGAGACGGGTTAGTGTGAGTTGGGTCGGGTCAATACGGGTTAATGTCATAACATATGCGGGTCGGGTTCGGGTTGGGTCATGCTTAAGTCGGGTCACGTCGGATCATACATCTTATCGGGTTTGGGTCGGGTTAGTAAAAGGTTGGGTTAAAAAAAAAAGAAAAAAAAAGGGAAAAAAAAGGGAAATAAAAAAAATAAATAAATAAAAAGGGATAAAAACAAACTTTGCCAACACCACAACCCATGAGAACGGTTGAACTGTAGAAAATTCTGTACAAATTTTTTTAAAAAAAAAAAGAAAAAAAAGGGAAATAAAAAAAATAAATAAATAAAAAGGGATAAAAACAAACTTTGCCAACACCACAACCCATGAAAACGGTTGAACTGTAGAAAATTCTGTACAAATTCAAAAAAAAAAAAGAAAAAAAAGGGAAATAAAAAAAAATAAATAAAAGGGACATGGATGGAATTTATAGGAAACAATATACTGTGCAACTGCCCTTTTGATGCAAACCATGTTTTCTCTTTTTAGAAGGTTATAGATAGTATTGGCATAAAAAGTTTGTCAAAGTGATATGCATCAATACGTTTTAAGTTTACATGAAAACACTAATTAAGGGCTTGATAAATAAATGAAATTTATTAATAAAACAAATTTAGAGGTAGCTAATACTTGTAAAGCTTTGATAATGGTGTTTCTTCGGATAAAATGTCAATTTTAGTGATTGTAAGAAGATTATACGGATGAGTTTATGATGGTGAATAATTTAATTTGTTGCATATTTTGACGAGAATAATTAGTAGTTGGAAAAATTTTAATTAGAATATTTAACTGCTTTATAGGCAACAAGATATTATGGAGTACAAAGTATTTTATTGAATTAATATTTTGATTTATTTAGTCTTAGATACTCAAAGATTATGGGTATAGGATAAATCATTTGCCTTGGCAATGACTTTTTTTGTAGAGGTGTCAATCGGGTTAATGGTTCGGTTTATAAGTTTTCGGTTTGTAACGGGTCGGTTTATAACGGGTTTAAATAATTAACGGGCCAGTTCAGTTCGGTTTTAAATAAAATCAGGTCAGTTCGGTTTGGGTTTTTTTAACTACGGTTTCTATTCGGGTCCGAACTCTAATCAGATCGGGTTGTAATCGGTTCGGGTCATAATTGGTTCGGGTTGAACTCAACAGTTTGAAAACTGATTTTTTCAGTTTTAAGCGGGTTTCGGGTCAAAACAGATCAGGTCCTAATCGGGTTGGGTTGTAATCGGTTTAGGTCATAATCGGTTCGAGTTTAACTTGGTCAGTTTGAAAACGGGGTTTTCCAGTTTAGTACGGTTTGCGGGTCAAAACAGATCGGATCCTAATCGGGTTTGGATTATAATCGGTTCGGGTCATAATTGGTTTCGGTTGAACTCAGTCGATTTAAAAACGAGTTTTGGTTCAAAACAAATTGGGTTAAATCCTAACTCACAAAGTCACAATTAATTAATAAGGGTCGTAAAACAAGTTGGGTTGATTGAATAGTGAGTTTAACAAATCAAGTGAGTTAGGATATAATTGAGCAAGTTATGAAGAATTGGGTAAAATCCTAACTCACAAAGTTACAATTAATTAATAAGGGTCACAAAACAAGTTGGGTTGATTGAATAGTGAGTTAATCAAATCAAGTGAATTAGGATATAATTGAGCAGGTTGTAAAGAATTGGGTTTATTAGGTCATATTGTCCGTATAACAAGTTATGACTCATAACATATATACTCATACACGAATTCAAATAAATGACTTAGGTTACGACTCATACACGAATTCAAATCAGATCAAATTAAAATCGAGTTATGAGTTAAACAAATTAGGTTGAATAGGTAACGAAAATTAGAACAAGTTGAAATTTGGTTCTAGTCATAAATATGCTCGGTTAATTTACTCATGGAGATATAAATTGATCGGTCATAATCGGTCACAGGTTGTAAACAGTTCGGTCATAACCGGTTACAGGTTGTAAACGATTCGGTCGTAATCGGTTACGGGTTGTAAACGGTTCGGTCATAACCGGTTACGGGTTATAAACGGTTCAGGTTAATCGGGGTTTTGTCGGATTTTAACAGTTTCGGTTTACACTAGGTCGGGTTACTATCGGGTTCGGCAGTACTCGGTTCGGGTTGTTCTCGGTTTCGGGTTGCATCGGTTCGCTTGAAAACGGGTACGGTTTCTTAACAGTTTTTAAACATTTGGATCGGTTCAGTCTCAGGTTTTAAAAAATCGGGTCGGGTCAGTTTACGGTTATAACATAACGGGTTGTTAACGGTTCGATTCCTTTTCGGAACAGTTCAGAGTCACCAGTTCGGGTCGGTTTTTGACAGCCCTACTTTTTTGCCTGCAATATCAGCGCCCAAAAACTATTATTTCGTATATTTAAGGTTATCAATAAATATATATTAATACTAGATGAAGCCCGTGCGATGCACGGTTTGTTTGATTTTTTTTTTAAATAATGTTTTTTTTTTGTATTTATAAGCCTAAAATTGGTTATATATTTAGATAAAATTCCTAATATTAAAAGATAATATATAGCATTTAATTAATTTAAACTTAAAAATCTCATTCACATTATTTAATTCTAAAAGAAATTAATAATCTCTTATTTAATTGGCTACTACTAAGATTTATAATCCTACATGGCGCGCTCAGAAAATTAGATCCTACGTGACTCTCTAAAAACTCGGGAAAAAACTCCCCTTTATATATATATTAGATTGGTAATCTGGAACGGTTGAATTTGCTATACTTCCTCCGTTTTTTTATTATTGCACCATAAGGGTTGGGTGCAAATATTTTGGTAGTGGAAAAAGTAAGAGAGAGAAAGCTAAAAATACAAAATTGCCCATGTGACATATATATAAACTAAAAAATAAGTGTGTGATAGGTATTTGTAGTATGAACACAAATAATTTTTTTCCGAAAAAGAAAATGGTGCAATATTTATGAAACTTCCTAAAAAGGCACGTGGTGCAATAATAAAAGAACAGAGGAAGTATATTAGTTTGATACAATACTATATAAACTATAAAGAGGTTTTAAATCATTATAAACCCCGACCAGCCTCATTAAGGATCCAACATCGAACAATTGTATAAAACCCGATCCATTAGTTATTGGACGGATCTGACCCATATGGGCAGGTTATTAATGGGGCTCCAACCCATTGAATTGCTCTGAAAATAAGGGAAAAAGAAAACATATGAACATAGCCCTGCCTAGTGCCTCATCGTCTCTCTGAGTTCTCCATTGAAGCGCACTAATCAACATTGCAAGAATATGAAGCTAAAGAAAATTCCTGGGTAAATTCTGTTTTCCACTTATGAACACACATCTTTTCTAGTACGTTTTTTTATTTTTATTTTTTTTTTATTTTTTATGTACATGATTTTGTTGTGGTGTGATTGGTAGAATTAACAGAAAGCTTGAAACGATTGATGATTATGATGATGATGTCATGGCTTTGGAGGGTGCTACTCTTAACAGTAGACGTGCCTTTACTCTTTCTAGCAAACTCTCCCTGATTGTTCCTGCCAAGGGAAACAGGCTCAAGGTATATCGTTAACTTTTCACGACGGCCAATTGTTCCGTGTACCCCTAAGGTTTAAAAAATGTACCCGTGTAAGATTTTTTTAAAAATGCCCCAAATATCCCTATACTCATAACAAATGTTAAGTTTATCAGATTGAGACCCCTAAGCATCAAATTCAATTATTACAAAGTAATGAAGTAAACTAAATTTATAAATAAAGTTTAGGATTTTGAATGATCAATGAATTTCAGATTTTGATGTAATTTATGCTTTTAGGCGGTTCTAGTGCATATATAAGGAAGTCAGTGTGTGGGCATGATTTTAGTTTAATAAGTTAGTGATACGTGCATTTGTTAGATAATTATGTATACAGTGCATTTGGTTTAATAAGTCAATGATACGTGCATTTGTTAGATAATTAGGTACACCGTGCATTTTTCTAACATCAAAGGTACTCGAAACAATTTCCCTAAACTTTTTATGTGTTCTGATGTTAATTGAAGTTTTAAAGCAATATGCCTTATCTGCTCAGATGGAAATTTTGATTAGTTGAGAAGAGATCCTGATTGTTGATCATGATCCATTGCCACCTAGGTACAGCCAGTAGGATGAGGGATGTCAATCTGTTGACAGTGAACGCTTTTCTGGTCATTAAATTTACTGTCATACTTGATACCTTTGATCTAATCACACTCTATGTCTGTTGATCCTATTGATTATGGTCTATTGTCCAGCAATTGCAAGTTTTCCTAGTATTTTCTTTGCTTTTAATAAGGTCAGAAGATCCACCACCCCTTTCGAATTTGTTTGTAGTATAATCAGACTGCTTATGTACTGTCAATGAAAAACATTATAAGTCTGGCAACTTTGTATTAACTGTTATTTTCTCACAACTTTTTGAAAGGAAAGAGCTGAGCTAGGAGAAAGGAGATGGAAACACCAACTTCGGGTTCTGGCTAGAGCCGGAATCAAGTCAAAAGATAATGATGCTGCTGAACTTGATAATGAGCCAGAGCGTTTGGGTGACAAAACTGATGCTGGAGATAGTGATGAATCAGAAGACTTCTACAATTTAGTTAAAAAACAAAAAGAAGCCAAGGATAAATTGAAGGCAGAGAAGTATTCAAGGTGAGTTACTAAACTACTTTCACACCATGTACTTTTCTTATCGGCATCAATGCATCATTTCATGGCATGTTTCTCACAATAATTTGTCTTTTAGAATCCCACAAGATCAATATGAAATAGAGATCACTGCTGATGGAAAACGTCGCATTTCCAAGCAGGTAAACTACTAGCTCACTCTCTCCTGTAAAAAGTATGGCAAATTGCATAAGTTCCTATGGGTTGTCTTGATACTTATTCTTTATATATATATTTGTTAGATGGAGAAAAATAGAGGGCTTACTCGTGATCGAAAGAAGCAGAAAAAGAATCCAAGAAATAAGTACAAGGTACTTGATTAGAACTATTGTTAAGTTCATCATGTTAACTATTTTAAGTGAATCTGTGATTGCTTGGTTTCCTTTCTCTGATGTGCTCTTTTTAAATGTATGCAGCGGCAGCATGAAAAAGTGGTTAATAGGCGCAAGGGGCAGGTGCGTGAAGTTAAGCGACCGAAGCTTAGTTATGAAGGGGAACTTACTGGCATCAATCCTAGCATTAGTCGAAGCAGGAGGCTGGGATGAAGTTCTGTTATTCGTTTGGGTGATGGATTAAGTCAAAATTCTGGATTTTTTGTGTAGCAGCTTCTCTCTGATATAAACAAATAATTAACTGTATGAAATCCATTTTCGTAAATAATAAAATAAAATGTTATTTTATATTTTATTGTTCACTTGAAGATGTCATTTATAATTTCAAAAATTGTATCAAAATCTCTGCTTAATGAGAGGCTTAGGTGGCAGTGGTTCGAGTATTAAGGTTTAGAACGATAAGTGGCTGCCAAGAAATGCAATCCCATTGCCTAATCCTAATGCCGTTTATAACCCAAATCTAACTATTGCAGAGCTCATTGAGCAGAACTGTGGGGTGTGGGGTGTGGGATGTGAGTGTAATCAGAGAATGTTTTCAACCTGCTATTTGCCAGACTAGTTTACAACTGCCGTTGTCTTTGAGCTTACCTTCTGATGAGATGTTTTGGTGGCCGACAAAGAATGGGATATATATTGTAAAATCAGGTTATTGGCTAGGAGTGTTGGGGCAACACCAGGTAGAAAGCATTGAGAATGCTAATCTGTGGATGGTGGAGTCTATTAATCATGTCCTATTCGAATGTGATGCTGCTAGAAGGGTGTGTGGCAATAGCGAGTATGGTGACACAATTGCTGCATCCCCGACTGGTTCTTTCACCCCAAAACTCCTTTGGTTCGCAAGCAAATTGAATGTAAAGGAAGTTAGTAGCATCATTTGTTTGGCTTGGGCTATTTGGTTCTGCCGCGACAAAATGTGTCTTTGAGCAAGCTGTACCTGATCCTGTTTTCGCAGCCATGGGATTCAAGAAGATGGTGGATGACTACTGCCTCTATGCTAAACAGGTCTTCTCTCCAACGTCAAGGCCAGCTGCTGGACTGATCAAGATTAATGTTGATGCTCACATAATGGAAGGGAGATATGCTAGTCTTGGTGTGGCTGTTCGTGATGTGAATGGTACTTTGGTGATTGCTGCTGTTAAAAGGCTGAACTTTCCCTGGGATGCGCTCACTGCTGAAGCTGCAGCAACCAGGTTTGGTTAACAAAGAGCTAGCAGATTTGGATACAGCAAGACCTGGATTGAGGTAGATGATATTAATGTTATGAAGGCTGCTGATTCACTTCAGGAGCGTTGAGCTCTATCTTTCTGATATATGATGATTTAAGTCGTTTATTTGAGAATCAAAGACAAGAGATTTGATGTTTTTTTTTATTTGTCCTCATGTTAAACGGGACGGGAATACAATAGCTCGCCTAACTGATAAGGCATACAAGAGGAAATGATGAATTACTCCGTAGATTGTATGGATTCGTTTCTCTAAGACTACTCTCATTTATGGGGAAAAATAAAAAATGACATTATCTCTCTACCCACTTTCTCACTGCTCTTTTCCATTTTTTTCTCACGGGCATTTTATTTTTAGAACTTCTCACACATTCATGGACTAAAAATAAAACCTAATACCACTCTCTCTCCTACTATTTCTCTCTCCTACCCACACACTCACCGCTCTTTGTTTTAATTTTCAAGCTTTGTTTTTTTTAATGCCTATGAATGTGGTACTAAAATACTCAATTTTTTCCACATAATTCTCCTCATGGGCAAAAATATGCCCATGAGTGAGAGTGCTCTAAAGTGTCTTAATTTTGGTGGATTATGAATTTATGATTTGCAATAATAAGCCATTCTCATCTGTTTTCAAAAAAAAAAAAAAAAGTGCATTTAAATTATGTGAAAAATAAAACCAGACAAACATGAATAATAACAATATTTTAATCAATCTTACTTGGCTGATAAATTTCCTCAACCTTAGTAACAAAATAACTAGCGTGAGTAACTTGGATTTTTGGCAAACCGCACCAAACTGTTATAATGCGGTTTGGTTTGATCCGATTTGACATGTAATACAACTTGATTTGAATTGGTAAAATATGTACTCCCTTCGTCCCCTTTTGATAGTCCTTTATGGGCATTTTTCACGGGAATTAATAAACACAAATAAGAATAGTTAAAGTACATTGAAAAAGTAAATTGACGTTGTGTATGCAAAAAAGTAGAGAGAGAAAGTAATAAAAGTACATGGAAAAACAAAATTTACATGAGAAATTTAAATTTGCATAAGTATTGTTGCAAATTGGATGGAATTTTGGTAACAAATTAATATTAATGGTTTTTGGAAAAAACAAATGGGATGAACATTTTAAGACTAAAATTTGCCCATAAAAGACTATCAAAAGGTGACAGAGAGAGTATCATATTTTGATTTTGGATTAAGCCCCAAACCGAACCGCATGCACCCTACTAGTCCTCTCGCTTCCAAACTAATCAAACCTTCAATTCTGGTTCAAAATTCAATTTTCCAATCCAAAACACAAAAGCATAATGATAAATTGATAATACTCAATTCTTGAATATTAAACTGAAAAAAGACCTCCATTTAAGGTTCTGAACCCAGCAACCATGGAAGCAAGAGGGCTTCAACTAACCCACCCATTTTCCTCACCCCATCAAATTAAACGCTTTGCTACTCCACCCACTTTCATTAATCTCTCTCCTCTTTTTAACCAACAATTTTCTGCTTTTGGTCAGTAATTTACTCCTGCTAATTCTACTTCTTTTTTTCTTTTTTTTTTTTTAATCCCAATTTCTATTGATAATTGTTCTTCATTTTCCCAATTTAAACAGGAATTTTGAGGTGGACTAAGTGCAAAGAGGACCAAGATTTGCAAGAATTACCCACAGGTTTATCTCCAGAATTTTATGATGATGTATGTTCTTTTTAAATTTATTTTTTCATTGATTTTTTTATTATTTATAATTATCTTTATTTGCTTCTGGGTTTTAATTAATTTGTTTATCTGGGTGTTAATTATTTTGTTTCATTTTGTTTTTGCTGCCAAAATTATTCATTTTGCTGAAAATTAGTTTGAATTAGCAAACAATATTTTGTAAGTGGGCAGGATAATCTAACCCAGGAAATGTTTTTTTGGGGGGCATAGAATGGTAAATATAACTTTGGTTACTGTGTAAACACTTAATTTGGAGTAAGCATAAGTTCTGCTGGAGCCTGGAGGTTGCTCAATAATATTTTAGACAGTTATGGATAATCGGATAGATGAGAATTGACATGTTTGATTATTTGTGTCATGTAAACTATCTAGTTGCAAGTTTGTAACGCGAGTGTGATTGAGAAAATAAAGATGGCAATGCAGAAAAAGTTGTCTTCATAATTCAGAACCCTGTACTTTTGTGCTCTTAAGTTGCATAAGAACAACTGCAAATGTCTAAATTCTATTTCAATATTTTATACGGTGAAAGTCAGCATCGAAATTGTAACAACTAACAAGAATATGAAATGTTATGGTTGTAGTCTATGTTACTCGGACTCTTTCATTTACCTCACGTGTCCGTGTCGACACGACACTTGTTGGACACCGACACCGACACTTGGACGCTTCATTTTTAACTAAAATCATAATATTATTCAAGAAAATGGGCGAGTCCGATGCTTGGACACCCGTGTCTAATTTGACACTTCATCCGAGTCCAAGTAACATAGGTTGTAGTACAATTGTTCTTCTGTGATGTCGTAACTCTTGAGAGTTGAGACAGACATTTATTTCAAATTTTCAGCACTGCTGCACTTGTTTGTTTTGAAAATGTTGTAAACAGATGTATTTTAGATATGCAACTATGCAAGTTTTTCCTTACAACTACTTATCTAATATGGAAATATAAGGCTAGTTGTGAACAAGGACTGGCTAAGATTGTAGTTATTTAATATATATATTTTTTTTCTGAATAAGCTGACATTGTCTTATAACAGGATTGGCAGGCAGAACAGCGTGAAAAGACCAGAGAACTCAATCGGAAACGCCTAGAAGAGGACCTAGAGGAGGAAAAGAAGGTCCAAGAGTACCGTGAAATTGGTGCACGTCTGAAAGATTTTCCAGATGAAGATGTTAGGAAAGCAAGAAAATTGGTATCGAGCTTCATTAGGGCTGAAGAAGAAGTAGAACAGGTAACACATCAATTTGATTTCAGAAGCTCTATGTTTCCATGCAGAATTCATCATGAGCCTATCTCTTAGCTTGAACAGAATCAACCTATAGAATCAGTATGTCAAAGCTGTTTGCTACCTGCATGTTATTATGGGTGAGCTAAAACTGTTTGTTTCCACATACCAATTTTTCTGGAGCAGCTTCCGGGAGTAAACATGTCTTGAACCTGCAAAATTGAATCACCCTACAGCTGTAGTGATCTTCAAGGATCAAAATCTATAAGTTTTGGAGCATTTTTAATGTGTTTCTGTTTTGTAGAAAATTGAAGAAGCTGCAGAGAGAGGGGAGCTTGACGAACTTGTTCTAATGGTCATCTGGAATCGACTTGATCTTGCTAGAAGAGATGTATGTTTTTTATATGCCTTCTTTCATATTGGAATAGAACTGGTTTTCGTCTGCATTTAAGTTCTTGGTTGCTTATGTTGGTTATATTAGCGTTCTGTAGTTAAGTCTACTTTACAGAGCAACTTGCTTCCGTCCTCTTGTTTCGGTGTTCATGTTATGTTCTCTCCAATCACATATTTGACATATATTTTGCGTAATTTTAAGGAAGATGCTGTATGTTTATCACAGAAAGGAGAATTTAATGGTATAATGACATTGTTCGTTTCAAAATAACTGCAAGACAGTCGATTCCCACAACACTGCAATCTTGGAAAGGATAAATATTAACTTATTAAGTGTTAGTAATTGAACAAACTAAAAATTTAATGAAACAATTACTCAAAAGAAAAAGAAAAGAAAAAAAAAAAAAAAGATAAATAACTCAGGAAATTTATTCAACTATTAATTTTACCTGCACTTCAAAGAAATCAATCACATGGAGAATCAAATTTTCTGCTGAGATTTTGTTGTCAATCTTGCTTATGTCTTGGCCTCTGTATCTCCTCTGGTTTTTTATCTTGCTGAGATCTATTCACATCTTTGTACAGGATGAGAAAGATGCAATCAGAAGTTTGGATCTCCTGTACAGAAGGGTTGAGGTATGTATGCTTTGTCCTTGTTATATTTGTAAGAAACCCTTATGATTGATCTAAGACATATAGCAGTCATTTTTGTAATATCCAGATGCAGTTTACAAACACACGGAACTATGGAAGTATTGCAACTTGGTGAAAAAGTGCACAAAATTTTATCATCTAATTGCAGTTAAACCCATTTCATGAGTTAGTCGAAGGACTCCGGAGAACAGCTCCTGACTCTGTTGTCAATTTCCTTGTTTGCTTTTAAAATGAACATCAACATAGAACAAAAAAATATAAAGAAAGCAGTCATCTTTTAGGTTATAGAATTAAGTGTGATATAAGATCATTACCGTACGCATTTCAGTCCATATTTGCTGTTGTTACCCACAGTGCTCTTAAAATTTAGAGCTCACACTGTGGAAGGGACATCAGTATAACATTGACAAGTTGAAACTTAAAGAGTCCTTAGGGGCCTTCAAATGAGTAACTAATCTAGAAGGGCTGAAAAATTGCAACATAATTTTACTAAAATAAATTAGTATTTGTAATATTTATGTTCTTCCCACCCTGTCTTCCTTATTCCACACTTTTAGTATACACAACCTTTACTATGTAAATAAGGGCAACCTATCTCACACCTTTTAGTATACACAACCTTAATTTTTGAAAAAGGGAGTATTTCTCATGTGTATTAAATGAGACCCTTTGTTATCCATGCCAAGATTATTTGATTATTGCATATCTTAATTAAAATTTAGACTGAGATATTGAAACGAGAGGCTTCGGCTGGCATGAGACTGCTCAACGACCTTTTGAATATGCATGATGGGTTTGATGATGAAGGCTGGCTAAAGGAATGCAAGAAGCTTATGATTGAGACATTCCCGCGGGAGGATCCTTTCAGCATCATTGTTCCTGCAGGATTCGACTTAGATAAGGTACAATTAACTGCAAATTCCCTTCTACCATTTTGTGTGATTACAATGCCCAATTTTTTTTTTTTAAGTTGTTGGGGAGAGGGGGAACAGAGAGAGAGGGGGGGGGGGGGGGGGTAAAGCTAGTGAGCATTGGCTGCTCAAGTCAACTGTAGTTGTATTTTGCATGCATTCTGATTTCTGGCTGATAGATTGTCCTTTTTTTCTTCCAACTTAGACTATGATGTTTATCTTCTAGCTGCTTTCCATTTAGTGGCTATACCATTAATCATTCAATTGTTCAATCTTGGCGCACTTAAATTTCCCTTTGAAATTTACTTCTGATATACCTAGTAATCGAGCTTACTAGTCTTAAATTTGTTGTTTAACATCAAAGGAACAGCATGAGTTTTACCTCATCAGCCTATGAATGTAGTGCTTAAAATCTATTGTTTCCATTGATTAAGGTGAAAAAAAGTTGCAAATTCCATCATTGTTATCAAAGTGAAATTTAGGTCAGATTTACAGTCATGTTTTACTGATTGTTCACCTCATGAATTGGTTGGTGAGAGTGAACTGTCAACTTTATATTGGGATATTGCTGCTAAAAAATGGACTCTTTTTGTTTTAATCTCTGTTCATCAGTTGTGGTAATTGTTAATATCTGCAGCCAATTCTGATAAACTAATTGGCTAATCCAGCATCAAGGTCCATTACATCCTCCATTGGAGACCGACGAGGTTCTTCTGAGGGTTGATTTCGTGAGAGAAGTTGATGCATTACTGCAAGAGGTGAGAGCTGAACAGCAGGAAGTACAGACAACGCAAGGCCTTGACCCAGACTCTGTTGCAGCTCGGTTAAAATACCAAGAGAAACAGCAAGCTATTCGCCAAGTTGAATTGCTTCTGGATCTTGCCATCAACTTGCAATGGTAATGGCCTCTCTGAAGGGCAGAAAGCGTATTGCAGTTACATGGCATGGCTCGAAACAACAAAAAATGTTGCGTGCCATACTCTTGGTATAAAGTGTAGTACTGTGCTTGACAGTTTCCACAATATGTTGCGCGCCATACACTTGGTAGAACTGGCTGAAGTCCGTATGGGGAAGAAAGAAAAATCATTCTTACACGACTATAGTGAGATGTAGCTACAACTATGCAACTGATTCTTCTGTCTGCTAAGTTATGCATGAATTTGTAAATCAGACGATATCTAGCTAGAATATTTTGAGAAAAAATTTGCCCCACGTAATATTGCAATGAAATTTTTTCCCAGTGTAAGCTACTTTGAAAAGTTTTTTAGAAAAATGTATACCATCCACATAGGCTCCAGTAGTTCAGGTGGGATAGACTAAGAAATAAAAACCAGTCAATGTAATTTGGGAGTAGCAATTAATTGTATACTGCATATTACTTAGTATAATTCATCCGTTCTTATTTAGTTGCGTTTTGAATTTCCCCACTGTTATATACTTAAATACACTAGTTTATGATTTATAAACCAAACTTGTACCCGAATCCGACCCGTTGTCATCCCTATGTCTAGTAGAATTGTCAATTATTTTGGAATGTAAGGAGTATAAAGTTACATATACTCCATTACTTTGCATCATTTGTATTTTAAATATCGGTAAAATAACGTGGTCAAATGTACTGTAATACTTTATTGAAAATACATAAATTGGGTAAAAAGTTGGATAATGTTAGTTATTATAAAAGGAATGCCCTAATGAAGAAATTATTGTACATTTGTATACCCCTTTATATTTTTTGGACAAGTAATTCACTTTAATTTTGCAACTTTCTTATTTTAGTGGGTAACTATGAGTTATGACTTATGAGTCTTGCACTTACTTCGCATGAATTGTGACCCTATTATCTCTAGTACCACTAATTGTCTAATATACTCTCAACAAATAAAACTGTACAATTTTAATGGCATGGCACATTAAATGTAACTTCATTATAAAACAAAGCAGTACAGCAGCTAGCACAATCACAAAGAGCACTACAACTGCATTATTTCAGAACTCTACGATTTATTACAAATCAATAAAACTGAACAATTTGGTATTAATTATTTGAATTATTTCAATACAAATTCTATAATAATAATAATATGGAACCCTAATTTAATCTAACCAAATCCAGTCCTAGTTTCTCATAAATACTTCTCGCCCTCTTCTCTTGTTGCAAAGACTCAGAGTCACTAACATAATCATTACTCTCAACTTTTTCGGAAGTGATGAGTTGGTGTTTCTTGATGATTAGCGCATTTGGAGGAGTCGAACGACGGGCACTTACACGTCCAAACAGTTTCTTCAAATACGATAAATATGAAGACGATATAGGTGACGTTGGTGATGATGATTCAGCATCCGATTTTAAGTCGTCATCGATGACGTCATTATTGTTACTGCCTACCGATGAATAAATTAGGGTTGCCATAGAAATCAATAATTTTTTTAGATGATGTCAACGGTTTTTTTTTTTTTTTTTTTTTTTTTTTTTTTTTTTGTTGGGTTGTAATGTTAGAAAGTTTTAATGTGAAAATTAAAGGTTGGTTTAATTTATATAAGAGGTTATGAGGTTGTTATTTTATGTTAGTAATTCTAATCCTACAAAGATTTGGTTTGCTTCTTTTTTATTATATTGGTTGTAGAACTTTCCTAATTCACATAAGCTTATAGATACCTCTTCATCAATAACCGACTATCAAATATAATAAAAGTACACAAAACTTTTGGTTCCTTTTAAAAAAAAAAGGTAATATGATAACATTTATGCATTGTGGTGATTGATTTTTGAGAAGTCTATTTTTATGAGAGTGAAGGATAGTTCAAGTGGTTAGATCTTCCTTCCCGATTTCAGGAGATCATGGAATCGATTCTCACCCCTGCCCTTGTGGCTCTCTAAACACTAAAAAAAAAGAAGTCCATTTTATTTTTGTAAATAGAGTAAGTTTAATTATATGTAAAAAAACGTTACATAATATTTTTTTTTTACACATACATAATTTTCTTACATATATACTTCGGATATACTTTCTTTTACCAAAAAAAAAAAAAAAAAAAAATTAAAAATTACCACTCAAAAAATAACTATATTATTATATAGTACAAAACTTATCTTTTAAAGATAATCTATTCAATGATGAATATTTTCGCATATTAATGATCAAACTCATACGTTGACATGTATGCCTAGTAATATAATGTCAACTATATTGGAACGGAGAGAGTATGATGTTACATCTATATATATATATATATATATATATATATATATATATAGAGGAAGGCTCATGTAAGAACCCTCCTCTATATAAGAACCCAATCTTATATAAGAACCAATCTCAGCCCTTTATTAGTTTTGATCTAACCACCTAAAATGATCCTTTAGTAATGGCGTTTCTGTAATTTTGAAAAGTTTACATTTAAAACATAGAAAAAAATTTAGAATATGGGAAAATTTTTAGAACATAAGCAGAAAAAATTTAGAACATACAAAAAAAATTTAGAACAGAAGCAAAAAAAATTTAGAACATAAAAAAAAAATAATTTAGAACATAAGTTGAAAAAATAATTTGATTTATTTTCATGTTTTACTATTAAGTTATTATTGTTTACTTTCGATTTTTTTTTTTTTTTTTTTTTTTTTTTTTTTTTTTTTTTTTTATAGAGATAACCTATGTAGGAATCGAACCTACATTCTCTATGCATTTGCATAGTGCTCTACCAATTGAGCTAATAGGTTTTAGGCCTTTTAGCATATGTTCTTTTTTTCATTTACCGTAAATGTTCATAAGTTTTTTCTAATACTTTAGTTTTTCAAAAGTATTTTTGCTAATACTTTAATTTTTTTTTCTGCCAATGCCTTTTTATATGTTCTAAATTATTTTCCTATCATCTAAACTTTTTTTATCCATTACTTAAAATTTTTCTGTCTATGCTTTGAATTTTCCATATATTTCTGAAAATTTTCACCATATGTTCTAAACTTTTTCTATCTATAATCTTAGAACTTCTCACCCTATTTTCTAAACTTTTATCCTATATACTAAATTTTTTCACCCTATGTTCAAAACTTTTTCCTATTCTAAACTTTTTCTGATGTACTAAATTTTTTCGCCCTATGCTCTAAACTTTTTTTCCTATGTTCTAAATTTTTTTCACCCTATGTTCTAAATATTTTCACCCTATGTTCTAAACTTTTTGACTATGTTCTAAATTTTTTTTTGATATTCGACATTTTTTATCTATGTTCTATATTTTTACCTATGTTCTAAAAGTTTTCATCTATGTTCTAAATTTTCTGTCTAAGCTCTAAATATATGTTCTGAATTATTTTCATATGTTCTAAATTTTTTCACCATATGTTCTAAACTTATGTTCTAAATTTTCTTTTATGTTCTAAATTATTTTTCCTATTTTCTACACCTTTTCTTAAGTTCTAATTTTTTTTCCCTATATTATAAATTTTTTAAAATTTTTTTCACTTATGTTCTAATCTTTTTTCCCTATGTTCTAAAATTCTTATGTTCTAAATTTTTTTGTTGTGTTCTAAACTTTTTTTTTTCTATGTTCTAAACTTTTATCCTATGTACTAAACTCGATCTTATACCCATATTGAAAACTTGTATACCTATGTTCTAAATTTTTCTCTAATAATCAAAATATATGTTCTAAAATTTTGACTATGTTCTAAATTTTTTCCCCTATGTTCTAAATTTTTCTGCCTATGTTCTAAACATTTTTTTCTATGTTCTAAATTTTTCATATGTTCTAAATTTTTTACTTATGTTCTAATCTTTTTTTGTTCTAAATCTATATTATTCTAAATTTATAATAAGATTAGTTTTCTTCACTTTTCGTGCACTACTACTCTAGCAATAACTAAGCAAAATTTGTGGCTTAATCAACCAAGCTATCTAGTTTAATTCCAAGATATGATAATTAGTTAAAATGACATGGAATCAAGAATAAAGATACCCAACTACATATATAAATAACAGCATCCAATTAGTCGGTCATCAACTCATCATGGCTCCACATATATATATACCCAACAATCAAATTCATATAATCTCAAAAAATTAGTAAGCCAAATTACCAAGCTAATACAAATACTAGCATTCTCTTTAGAAAACGCAAACAATATGAGCAGATATGAGTACGAGTATAAACAAGAGACGACTATTCTATGCCACAACTCACAGCCACCCCAACACCACAAGCAGTCGCGGACCACCAAATCACCATTCAGTAGCACCCCACGCTGCTCCTAACCACCGCACCACCGTTACTCACCCTCGATCTCCACCTTCACTCACTAAAAATGACGCCAAAAAGAAAAAAAATCGAAAAAAATGGGCTGAAAAATCTAATAATCAAGAGCAGCGGTGAAATTACCCCATATTGCTGAAATTCGAAACTAAAATCGCTAAAATTCGAACATTAAAATCGCTGAAATTCCAGCCCTAAAATCACTGAGTTTGAACCCTATAATCGCCAAAAATTAACGAAAATCAAATCAGAATAGAATTCGAAGTGAATAATAGGACTTAATAATCGTACCCAAAAAAATCGAATAGAAATCGCAAGATGAAATCAAAAAATCGAAAGCAACAAAACAATTAAAAAAAATGGAACAAAAATCACACAGAAATCTAAAAATTGAAGTCGAAATTAAGAAAAAATTGAACATCATGCGAAATTTGAATAAAATCTAAAAAAAACGTACTTGATTTGAACAATTTAGGTTGGTTATGCGAAATTCATGCGAAATTTGAAGAAAATACTTCAATAAGTTCAATTTACAGGATTTGAGGAGAGAGAAAGTAAAGAGGATTGAAAATTTGAGGAGAGAGAAGATTTTGGACGGTTGGGGGAGGGTTTTTGGTTTTAATCCTGACCGCTCATTCTAATATAATCCTACGAATGAGATTGGTTCTTATATAACTAAGATTCTTATATAAGGAGGGGTTCTTACCGGATCCCTCCCCTATATATATATATATATATATAATATATATATATATATTATATATATATATATATATATATTCATTTGTGCCTATGCACTCCCATTTTTTTATTTTGGGCAAGTACTTTACTTTTGCAACTCTAATTTTATTGCAATTTCTTTGACCTCCAAACAAACCACTAAGTGACTAAGGAGGGTATTTATGAATTTGAATTATGAATCTTAGCTTACTTCCTACCAGTATTAGACTATTCTCCCAACAATTCAGACTGTACATTTAATGGCAGTATAATTGCAACTACATTATAGTACTATATATGTATCTCCAATACGATACTAGCTTAAAAAAAAAAAAAAAAAAAAAAAAAAAAACTTGACATTTAACCAGAATTTTTTAATCTTAAAAAGTGGCTAAAATAATTTAAGTTACACTACTACAAAATTGCTCAAATAAGA